TTTACCCAGCCAATTTATTATTGGTTCCCTCTTCTGCCTATATTCCCTAAATCCTCCTCCATCTATATGCTGATCTGTTCATTAATCATCAGAGTTCTAGCATTCTAATAGATACCAAAGAGGATTACACAGTGATTCTGCTCTCAAGCTGTCTAGAATTTCATGATGAAGATAGGATGTCTGCATTTATCATTCAGATCTCTGAGATGAAGTGTTAAGTATCCAACAATAACAGAAAACCTTCTTCAGGACCTAAATAGCTTAGAAGAGGTGAGGGTCTTCACTCCCCTTTCCTGTTTATTGGACTATTAGATTGATGCACCAAAGGCAGTAAAAAAACAGGAAATATATGGACTCTGGAAGAGGCAAATCTGAATTCATTGCCTCGGGGGAGGGCCTAGGAAGGGGAATAGGGTGCCTCAAATTTCTGAACTGGCCTTCTTGTTTGCACAATGGAGATACTTATATCTACTTTTAGAGACTGAAAGAAGTACTCTTTGTAAAATATTTATTATATAATGCATGCTCTTTCAAGCATTACCCCCCCCCCCCCCCCCCCCCGGTCTGAAGTTCAGTGAGCCCATTGCAATGGACACAATCCATCAGGGAAAATTATTTCATTGAAATGTACCCTGAGAGTTTCATATTTTAACTTATGTCATGTTTGTTAAAAAGTAAAAATTATATATTCTTCTTTAAAGTTGTTAAATGTCCCTGAAATTTCAAAGCATTAAGTATCATGACAAAAAATAAGTAAGTAGAATAAGGAGTTGATGCTTTTCAAATTTACTATACAGCTCTATCTTCTGGAAATCCCTGGTAATAGAAGACAACTGAATTTACCATATGATTTTCATCATGAGCATGCCTCTGCTAGGATGTGAAAGTTGCTGTTTACACAATTTAATTTTCTACTTTCTAGTCAACCATTTAAAGTCCACAAAGAGTAGAAAAATGGTAAAATCTGAAGATTACATGGAAAAGGCCTTTGACCATGTTGAAGGGCTGTAGATGGGAGTCAATTAGCCGTTACTAACAGTCCTGAAGTCATTACTCCAGCTGGTTATTATTTTTGAGCCTCATTACACACATCTGACAATCAGAGGCACTTACACAGCCCTCTCCTAGCTCTCCTGTGAGAATAAATATGGAAAGGGTTTTGTACTCTCAGGTGAAGAGAAAGAGAGCTTTAGATACAAGAGGTCCATAAAAATAGTTTGCCTTTCTTTAAAGAAATCTTATTGTGGATGCATGTATATATATTCGACTAATAAACATTATCTATTAAATAATTGTGGGTTACATTGCAAGTGTAGTTGTAAGGTTCATCTTAAAGACATATATTCCCCCATAGGGGTTTCACATGAAATATTACAATAAGGACAAAACAGAGTTTTCATTTTACGCCTGTGAGGAAAGTGTGAATGATTACAACACTCTTACAACTTGGTCAGGTGCAGGTACTAAAAAAGTAAAATCACTAACAGGCTCTTCTACTGAAATTCTTTATAATTCTACTTTTACATTTGAAATATTGTAATATGTAAACATTAGAGATGATGTGCTCTTATTTTGGTTCAGTCGGAAAATACAGCACTTCATGAAGTTTGAGATGTTGAAAGGTACTTAAAAAATGCTGAAGAATTAAACTTTGAATTTTGTTAAGAGCTTATACATTCACCTGGTTTAAAATTACAAAGGTAAAAAGAGGCAGACAATGAAAATTCTCTCTTTGTCCAGAGGAAACCACTGTGACTGTTTTGTTTGTTTGCTTAATGCCAGTGACCTTACAGTTTGAGAAGGCTAGTCTAGTACCTATCAACAGAGAAAGACATCAAGGGTCAGGGATATAAATTAGCTATGGGTTAAGAATGAAAGTTGAGATACACTCATCTTACTGAAAAATAAAGAATGATTTTAATGAAGGAAATACTAAAGCCTATCAACTATGCAGAGAGTAATTGCACACACAGATTTCTAGACCAGACCTGTTTGACCGGCTTGGTCCCAGAGCAGCTAAGGTAACCCCAGGAGAAGAAAGGCTGATGTAAACAAAGTAAATAACCATTTGAAGTAGAGACTTTGAAAGGTACAGTTCAGGAAATTTAAAGTGCTAGCATCTGGAAGTTGAGAAGAGGAGGAAGATGGAGAGGAAACACTTGCTCAGGTTCATATTCAAGGCCCTAAGGCGGTGAGTCAGCCATGCTTAAGTTTCTCTTTCTATTCCAATATTTACTACCCATGTGTGACTTTGGACAAAGCTTCAGTGTTCTCATTTGTGAGACAGTAACATAAGTAAAGAATGCTATTCATATAATACACAAAGTGCTTGGAATATATATGGGCTATCCTCTCCTGAGACAAATATTAGTTATGACAATAAGGAGATAGCTTTCGAACTCTGGAGGACTGAGATTCTCTTGTTAGATAAAGTTGATTCATATAGCTCATCTATATGATGGAGAAAAATCTGAGAAAGTCTATTTTCCTTAAATTTGAAATAGGAATAAGGAATAGTTGAGTACCTCGCTGAAAATCAGTCTAAGAATTTAAGGTAAATGGCTTTTTTCAGGGTCACCAAAAATATAAAATATTAAAAATAAGGCCACTACAGAAGAGAAACCAAGATGTCACACCATTTCTTTAACATCTTAATGTAAGTGATTCTAAGTATTTTAACTTGGGTGTTTTTCCCAAGACACCTTGATGAGGGCAAACTTTGTAATTAGTGGCCTCTAAATTGAATTGTGTCATTATTCCTGTGGATCTATTTATTTTTTTTATTTTTTTATTTTTATTTTTTAAAGATTTTATTTATTTATTTGAGAGAGAGAGATAGCGAGAGCAGGAACACAAGCAGGGGGAGTGGGAGAGCGAGAAGCAGGCTTCCTGCCGAGCAGGGAGCCCGATGTGGGACTCGATCCCAGGACCCTGGGATCATGACCTGAGCCGAAGGCAGATGCTTAACAACTGAGCCACCTAGGCGCCCCTGTGGATCTATTTAGTGTCCTCCTTTCCCAAACTAGCTTACTGAGTTAGCTCATATTATTTCCCACCTATCAGGAAAGAGTCAAAGACTCATCCTAGAAAAGGGGCACTGGCTACCAAGGTTTCTTATAAAGGTACTGTTTCGTTAAGGTGTTCTAGGTTTCTAAGTAGTTTGGAGAAATGGGGGCAGAGATGTCTTATTAGGGGCAACTGCCATTCTTAAATTTCACTATGCAGCCCAAGTTACAGGCAAGCGTGAGCACTCATTTCATCCGTGTGCTTGAATCTGCCTTCGCTAATGCCTATCATTAATTTCATGACTAATTTCGAGGCGAGGCCAATGGTAAATGTCTCAGTACTAAGCAAATACCATTAAGGGTCTCAGTATTAAGCAAATAGCATTCAATTAAATACATTGAAAAGAAGTTTATTTAGGCAAGGTAGAGAGAATCAGCACAAAATGAATAGACTGCAACTAAATCTAAGCTATTTGTCATAGTTTCCAAAGCCTTGTGAATATGTGTGAAACATGGATTTAATCCTTTGGGTTTTTGCAAATTGAGATAAGTAGTAAACTTCCTTGTAAAAACACCATTTGATATGCATTTCACTTTGCCTTTCTTTATCTTGGTTCCCTGAAACTTAAAGGTAAAATGCATAAATATATTCTACCTTACATGGATTTACAGATCAATCAGTGTCTAATGGTTACACATTTCTAAATTAACAATTATATAATTTGTGTGAATACTCTCAGCAATCTTTCTAATGATTTATTCTTCTCCCTCTTTAACTGATAAATGCTGACTCAGACATCAGTAGGAAGATAACAGTGCTCAATATAGAGCGTCTTGATCAGTTTCAGAAGGATTTCAGAGAAATGTGCTTAGTGCTTATTCATGTTTGCATCTGCTCTTTAAAACTGTCATATGTTTTGTGGTTAAATTCATTATTATAAACTTAAGGAGCTGCTCACATTTTTATTGCACTAATCACAAAAATAGTTAAACTGTATTAAACTTTTAAAAATAACCCATCCATTGAATTAGTAATTTCTTTCATAAACATAGACATTTGCCCTGGAATATAATTTTTTAGTTTTGAAATTTGCATTCTTTTGAACTCTTAAAATTACATTTGATGTCATCCCTCCATAGCTCATCTGTACAGAAAGAGTTAAAGACAGGTTTATGTCAACTGGACATAACAGGTTGTGCTTAGGCAAATGAAAGCCAGGTCTTAATCACCTGTTTTACTTCCTCTCACCTGAGATTTAATTCGACTGTCCCACACCAGCAATGATTTTGCACTCTCAGAAGTATTTTCAATGATTCAGTTTATAAGAATTTAGTGATCTGCTTTATTTCATAAAGAAAATTATAAGGAACAAGGTGGAGAAATCACATTCCATATTCTTTGTATAGTGACATCTGTGGGCTGTTGTAGCCCACAGTGATTTTTAAACAAGTACCTGCTCATTTTATGGGGGTCAAAGCTCATTTGTCCTGCTGTTCAAATATCTAGTCCATTGTGGTCCAGAAAAATAATTTTCCCTTAAACATTAAAGTCAGTTCCAGAGTGTAACAAGTTTTCCTGAAAGTAGTGCGGGAAATATATCCCTAATGTAAACTTCTGTTGGCCTAATTCAAACAGCCTTCTTCCACAGAATTGTGAAATAATTTCTTGTAATTATGTTTTGAGACTATCCTGGAGAGAAGAGTTCTGAAATGTGAGTCAGTGTGGAGAGATCAGCAGAATTACTGCCTTCGGGATATTAAGGAAACGCAATGGGAAACAACACCCATTAAAAGGGTAAACTGCGATGAGATAGTTGGTTTATCTCTACCGGTTTTAGACAATCTGCTGCAGGAAAAGGGTAAGACTCATGCCCTTTTACAAACACATCTCTTTGCCTTAAAAGGATGCAGGGATCCTTTTCTGGCAAAAAAACTGCCTTGCACTTTGATATTTACGACTAAGCAAATCCTGAACGCCTTCCAAGAGCTGCCGGTAACAAAATCCTTGGAGCGCACCCTGCGAGTCGCTCACGCCACCGCCGACCGCGAAAGGAGCAGAGTTAGCGAGCTGGTTCTTAGCCTGCAGCAGCGCATTCCTGCGTCTCCGGGCAGCGCGTCCTGGGGTCGGCCCCGCCCGCCCGACGATCGCCGACCGCCCTCGCGGCTCCCTGCCACCCTCTCGCGGGCGTGCTCTGGGTGGGGCCTCGCGGCGGCGGTGATGAGGCGGGTGCGCTGGGCGGGTGAGGCGAGCCGGCTGGGCGGCGCGCCCGGGCAGCCCGAGCCGCGCGCCGCGTCGCTGTAATCGGACACCCGAGCGCTCGCCCCCGGTGCCCGGCCACTTTCCATTCACTCCGAGGTGCTTGATTGAGCGACGCGGAGTAGGGCTCCGGGTGCCGCGGCACTGCGACGCTGAGGATTCCTTTACAAAGAAACTCAGGGGACCGGGAAGAAAGAATTTCACCGCTGGGACGCTCTAGAAATTAAGGTCTTCTGGGAAAAAGACTAGAGAGACACGCGGAGCCACACCGGTAGCAAATTGATGACTTGTACGTGCTGATCTCTTCCCATCTCGGTAAGCTGCATTCATTATTTTTGGCGTTACAAGTTTAGCAAAATATAACTTTGGGCTCTCTGTGTCGACTTTTTACACATCGGTGTGCTCAAGTCTGAACATTTTCTTAAGAGCACATGCAGTTTGTCCGGGAAGTGTTTCCCTTCCTGAGAGCCCTGCTTGAGTTGTTTCTTGAGGTTATGACACCTGCGGAGAGTTTAAAGTTGAGTATTTCAGTGCCCTCTAATGCAGGATTGCTCCAGAGGACGTAAGATTCCTTTTCTTACGTGTTATTAGTGTTCCATTAGTAGAAGTGAAAACAAGCAGCATGTCTAAGTGTCTCAGTTAAAGGGAAGTTATAATATATGGGGGGGGGGGGGGCACGTGTAAGACCCTTCCTTGGCTTTCCGTCACTTCTCATCTCTGGGTAGGCTTGAAACTACATTGCTCTGTATACTCACTTCATTTGGCCTGTCATTTCATCTTCACTACTATTCTTTGCAATTTTTAGCATATGTTGCTTTTGGTGAGACATACCAGATAAAATGCTAATAATAGCAATATGTAAAAATGTGTAAATATTATCCGCCTGCTTAATAAAGAGACAAAGGTTAGTCATATTTATAGCCTTTTTTTTTTTAACTATAAAGTCAGTAAAACCAGGGAACAAATTATTAAGGGAAAGTTACCCCATAAAATCAATTTTCTTCTAAGGTAATTTAGGGATGACAAGGTGAAGAGGTTGTGGAAGCAGGAAGAAACTGTTTCGCTTGAAAATTACCAACACAAACATCTCTAGGGTTTCCTCCATCTGTGTGGTAAAAGAGGCAAACAGTTTCGTTTCTATGTCTCATACCATATCACCACCTAGGAAATCAACTGTTTAAAATGTTTAAATTGTTTAAAGTGGCATGTTCAGTTTAACTGTACTTTTTCTTCTGTATTCATGAAGCAGTCTTCTCAATTTTTTGTGGCATTTCTTTATTGAATAAAAATGTTAAGATTCTTAAAAGACATATAATAGTGAATATTAGCATTGTTGTAACCTGTAAAAATAAGTTTCTAGATTAAACTCTGTCATTTCATTGTATAATTTCATCAGACTCAAAACAGTATGATTTCTTTCATGGTCCTGGGTTTATTTTGCATATTGTGGCCACTAGAGCTGCTGTAATCTCTAGTTACCCATTACCTGATCTTCCTTGATATTCAGACATTAGTTAACAGCATCTATTAATGTTACAGCTACAGTTTCAAAAGGTAATGCTTTTCTCTCTGATTTATCTTTTGGAATTTTGACAGCCTGCTTTCTGGTTGATTTATTTTAAATATGCATTGAGGGATACATGGTTCACTGGATTGTTCACCACTAAGTCATTGGTTTGAATTTGGCACTAGTCCATGGTTACCTCATCTGCATCATTTAACAGCTGCATGGTCATCTGTATAAATTGGCAGATAACTAATTTGAGTGATTTCAGTGGTCAGGGATTGAGCACACATATATTTATGTGTAGAAACACCATTTCAGAGATGATTACTCCAAAAGAGCTAATGAGGATGTGAGTGAGTGCACATGAATGTTCATGTGGCATTTTCCTGCTACTACTCTATTTATGGTAAAAAGAGATGTTTTCATCCACTAATACATACTGGTACCATTCGCAAGTCTTTTCAATGTTATGTGATTGTTAGAAGATCAAGTTCAAATATTGGGTTTTCCTTTGGGAACCAATACCTTATTCCTGGATGCTTTGTTCTGCTTTAATATTAGCATTATTTGCTGAAAGAACAGTTTCTTTTTTTCACAAAGACTTTCAGACACAAATGAATCAAATCCAAATTTTCACATCTAAGAAACAAAGTCAGAGCACCTCCTACTGTTTGCCTGACTGTAAAAGTTCAGATAAGTCTTTTATGAATAAGGTGCTTTGTCTAGATTGCTGATTTTGTGTGTATCTGTGTGTATGTGTGCGGTTGTGCTTCTAAAATGTGAATGAAATATAACAAACTTGTTACCTCTCTTTTAAAGGTACTTTCCCTTGGATATTAACTTGCCAATCTGAAGAAATGGCATTCCGGGCAATTTTCGTGTTGGTTGGAGTATTTGTTTGTTCTATCTGTGTAAAAGGATCGTCCCAGCCCCAAGCAAGAGTTTATTTAACATTTGATGGTAAGAAAGTTGATAAATACTCTGGGGAAAATGTCATTTGAAGTCTTCTTTAAAATTTCACATCCAGATCCAAGCATTAATGATAAATTAAAGATAGTAAAATATCATCAACTATTGATTAATCTTGAAAATATTTACTGGACTGTTTTTTTGGATGGCATGGCTATTTTAAATTATTGGTTCATAGACAAAAGCCCTCTATTGCATTTGTTTATGAAAATGCTTGAAGTATATTCTGCACATTTTGAAGTATCTTCTTACTAGCCACCTGGTGTTTGAGAAACACCCTCTATATGCTAATCCTCATCAGAGAAGTCTGTGAAGGTTTAATTACTTAAAATTTTTGTTAATAAATTTTGGTCTTAGCCTCCAAGCTGGTTTCTCCATATGTTGTTCTAATGGTGCTTCTTCCATGTCCAAAAGGAGTTCCTGAGATTGGCAAAATCTCCTAATTAATTGAAAAGGATCTAAAAGAATAGTTGGAAATATGTTTTCGATTGCTGTTGTGTACAAATGTTATCTTCAGAAGCTTAGGAAAATGGATGTGATTTCAAATTTGCACAAACGTAAAAGGTGTAAGGCCCTCTGAGGATGTTTTGCCAAATGTATGCATGAGCTTTAATGTAGGTGGGTCAAACAACTTACAGATGGATGACTTTGGTCAATCCATGCTAATTGGACAAGAATAAGAAATGGATCAAGAAGATCATCTTGCCAATCGGGGTTATTTGTATTTTTATTACTTCTTTCAACTTACTTTTTGCATAAACCTTAGTATCATTGAGCATATTTTCATTTTACTTGAGAAACAGTATACTCTCAGACCTTTCTATAGCAGAATGTCTTTGAAATGCTTTATTATCTTGAATTTCGAATAGCAGGATGACTGACACTTACCAGTCAAATGGATATCTTTTTTTTTCCTTTCCTTCTTAAGTCACCAAGGGCTTTCCCCAAGGTTATCATAAGCACTGAAAGAGCTTTATTTAGAACATAAAGTGTGTGAACTTCTAATTGCTTCCTTAGCTTCTAAGCCAGGCATTCTCCCTTAAAACCCATGGCTGTTCAGTTAAGTTGTAAAGAAAGGAAAAAAACAGACCCTTGGAAGTGTCTTTTTTTTTTAATTACCATAACATCTTTTCTTTCAAGTTGAGAACTAGGAAATATCTAATGAAATGAAAAATAAAGGCACTAGGTAGTAGTACAATTTGTCTCCTCTTTTCTATATTTCTCTCAATATATGTAGGAAGATGGAGTGGTCTCATAGATCAGTTATCTAAACCTGTTCAAGTACATCAAAACTAACCAAACTTTTTTTTTTGACCCAAACTTAACTCAAAATGTGTAATTTTTTTTTTTTTAAGATTTTATTTATTTATTTGACAAAGAGAGAGAGTTAGTGAGAGCAGGAACACAAGTGGGGGAGTGGGAGAGGGAGAAGCAGGCTTCCCGCCGAGCAGGGAGCCCGATGCGGGGCTCGATCTCAGGACCCTGGGATCATGACCTGAGCCGAAGGCAGATGCTTAACGACTGAGCCACCCAGGCGCCCCTCAAAATGTGTAAATTTTAAAAACAAGTGTGTCCCAGAGATAATCCATCAAGTCCATTATTCGAAGACTTCACAGTTTATCTTTTTCCTTTTTTTTTTTTTTTTTAAAGATTTTATTTATTTGACAGAGAGAGAGGGAACACAAGCGAGGGGAGCAGGAGAGGGAGAAGCAGGCTTCCCGCGGAGCAGGGAGCCCAATGCGGGGCTTGATCCCAGGACCCTGGGATCATGACCTGGGCCAAAGGCAGACGCTTAACGACTGAGCCACCCAGGCGCCCCCACAGTTTATCTTTTATAGAGGAAATTAAGTAGTATAAATTTTTAAAACCAAACTTCAGTACTAAGTGGGACAGTAACTGCTATGTATAGAGTGACTAGAAGTTATGATGGGCTTTTTAAAATACTCCATGTCTAATGCTGTCAAACTCAAACAGATTCTTGCAGGATAAGACTTACCTTAATTTATAACGTATGTAGAATATAGCATGATAAGATAAGCTATTGATCTGAGAGTTCTATGGTATTTTGTTCTTTCTAGGAAATAATCAGACAGGCAGAATATCACTTAATTTGTTTTAAAGAGATCTATCAACAGGGAGAACAAATAATGAAATTCCATAATTTCTAAATTAATACAAAAAATTCCTACAGTGAACTATATTTTAGGCATAGTATCAGAAAAAATACCTTCGACAAAAACAGTTGTTAAAATGTATAAATTTTAATCATTAATACATAGTCATTTTCTTAAGAGATGTAACAGTATATTTGTTTCAGATGCCTTTCCCGAATTTATTTAAAGTTTCTCATTGATTTTATGATGACTTTTCTCTGTATCACAATGAATAAGTAACTACATTTCTTGCAAAATTATTTAGTCTTGACATTAAAATATAGAACTTTGTACAGGGTTGACACATATATGAATATATATTAATTAAAATATGTATGATATATACTTTCTTTCTTTTATTTCAAAATTTCTATCACTATTTTTCAGCCAAAACTTATGAGTTGGAAAATGATTCTGAGGAAATTCAAATAATATCAGGTTACATCACACAGAAGTCATTTGCATCTTTATATTCTCTCATAATTACCTTGCCTCCTGACTCTCTTGTCTTGAATTCTTTTCCTTCACTATTACTTGGTCTTCTGCCAGTCTCTTTCTGGATGGGACTTCAGAAGAATCCCCTCAGTCTTGTCTTACAGTCCAATTAACAATCAAAGTCAATTTAAAAATGTGTGAAACAAGAGATCTCTTTTCCCATCCAAGTTTTATCCCTCCTTCTTGTGGTAGAATGATGGAGTGATAACATTGGGAAACAATGATTTACAGATTTGCCTTCCCTATTGATCTCTAGTGCAAGGTCAACCAGATGGTCATGTGTCCTATGGGAGAATGCACTTCAGATGTTATTAATTAGTTACATTTGTACAAGCTAAATCTTGCAGGTTAAAGAACTGTGATTCCTATTAGATACTACATTTTGTAATTGTTACCATTCTAATTTTATGCCAAATAGCTTTTCAAATAAATATAAAGTTCATGCAAAGACTTTTTGATTTAGTTGAATTTTTACTGAAAAAAAAAAATCCAGTAGTTTGACAGATTCACATATCATAGCATTTTTGTCATTGTATTTTTTTCCTCAGAACATCTTTGGAATCTATAAGGGTCATAAGGAAAGTCAAGGCTACTTATGTACGATAGACAAATTTGTTTTGCTTGTTCATATACAAGGGAAACCATTGTTGAAATGATTTTGCCTTTATCCAGTAGGGATTTTAGAATGTAGTATTTTACAAAGCCGGAATAAATACTGTATAATTTGATAAAAGGTTTCAGTTGCATGTCATTTTACAAAAAGTTTTTGAGCTTGAGAAAAATGGAAATATTGTCTATATTTTAGAAGATATAAAATGTGATTCTGAGTTAAATGTGTTAAGTATTGTTTCTGTTTTAAAATGAGGTATATTCTTATAATAAGATTACTTTTTCACTTAGTAATTCAGATTGTTAATCTAAGATATTCAATTTATTGACATGAGGTTGTCTATAATACTACCTTACTATCCTCACTATGTCTGTAGGATCTGTAGTAATGTTCTTTACTTCATTTATGAAATTGAAAATTTGTGTCTACTTCCTTTATGTTCCATGCAGAGATCAGTTTTTTCCTTTTTATTGATCTGTTAAAATAATCAGCTTTTGGTTTTGTTTTTATTATTATTATTCTGTTTAATATTTCTTTGGTATATGCTCTAAAATGAAATTGTCTTATTTCTTCTTGCTTTGTGTTTAATTTGCTCTTCTTTTTGGAAATTCTTAACATGGAAACATAGGTCACTGATTTGAGAACTTTTTTTCTAATATAACCAGTTATGCTACAAATTTCCCTTGAAACGGTGTGTAGCAGTGCTCCACATATTTTGATAAAATGTGTTCTGATTTTCAGTCAGTTCAAAATGTCTTCTAATTGCTCCCCTTATTTTTTCTTTTAATCACAAGTTATTTAGAAATATGTTGTATAATTTGAAGATATTTGTGTATCTTTTATTTATCTTTCTGTTGTAGGTCTTTGTTTCAGTCTCTTGTTGTCAAAGAACATACATAATATGCTTCAGGTTCTCTAAAAACTATTAAAACTCATTTTATGGCACTGACTATAGCCTATATAGAAAATAATGTATATTCTGCTTTTGTCACATGGAATGTTTTATTAATGCCAGTTAGATTCAATCAGTTGATGGTTTGCAATGTTTTCTATATTCTTACTGATTTTCTCTCTAGTTGTTCTTTCAATTACTGACAGAAGAAATTGAACTCCCCATCTATAATTATGGATTTGCCTATTTCTCTTTTCAAAGAGGTCTATCAAGTTTTACTTCATGTTTTTGAATTTCTGTTATTAGATACTGGCATATCTCTGATTATTCCTGGTAATAATTAGAGTTCTAAAATATATTTTTGTCTTTATGTAACATTTCTGTCTTTCTGTATAATGAAAAATACCAACAAAATTTTAGTTATAATTAAGTGGGAAAAATGTTTGTCATGATTCTAATGGCCTCTGGAAAGTTTTTATTAAAATATTAGGAAATATGTTTAAACATATATTTTTGATGTTTGTGAAAGTATGAACATTTGATTGGCAGTGTAGTGTTATGAGAACAGCATTTACATGGATTATCAGGATTTTCAAACTTTGGTCCCTCACTAATTAACCCTGAAACTTCGTTAGGGCCTCAGTTCTCCCAACCAGTTAAAAAATTTGGAGGCTAACTTAATTCTAAGACCTCTTACTAATTAAATTTGATGTTTAAGCTTAGTTTTGCTTTATAATATCATCTCCTTTGAGAAAGTCTTCTACAATAACTCCTTTCAGTGCTTTCAAAAACATTTTATGAGAAGGACCTGGGCAAGGGAAAGAACAAAACTAAACAAACAATTTTTAAAAATTCATGGATTTTGAAGTCCTACAGAGGTGGTTTTAAATCATAGTTGCCTGCTACTTTCTGGGGATGCTACATTGGGGTAGTTACCTAATCTTCCTAATCCAGAATTTTATCATCTGTAAAATGGGAATAACACATAGAACTTTTTGAAAATGAAATGAATTAAGTTTGTAAAATGTGTTGTGTAGTATATAGTGTGTATCTTATGAAAATGCACAAAGACTTGTATTAGAGTTAGTATTTATAAATTCCTTTAGGGTAAAATTATGGTCTTCTTTTGTACCGTAATTACTTCCACTCCACTTAGTGTAGAGACTGCCATTTGTTATTGTTCAATAAATGTTGAATTAATATACATTTTGATACTTCTTAACCACTATAACTCCCCAACTGATAGAGCCTCAGTACACTACAACAGTGCTTCAGTGAATCTTGTTAATTTAAAACAATGAGAGTTACTAGGTAGAATGCGAAATTTCTTCATCATAGCATTAAGATACAAATACCATGAGAGAAGAATTTTTGTTAATTTTTGCACAGATAGTTTTATACTCATATCCTGGTACATAGCTGATGGTCAAATGTTTTCTATCTACTTCCAAACTTGTCCCACATTATACACTAGAGATTCAAAGTAGTCTGGGAATTCAACTTTTATATTTACTCTTTCCAGTTAATTCTCAAATCTCTTTATCTGTTTTCTTCCCTAAAAGACATTTCATCTCTATAAATTTTAGATGTTTTCTTCCAGAGAGTTTTTTGTGTGTTTTGATTGGAAGCCTAGTTTTCTATATTAAAGGGAAGAGACCTCATACATACATAGCCTTCCACAGTGCCTTGACTGGTGACCTGTCAGGGATGTTGCCTTAGCATGTCTAGATATGTCTAGACTTTTAAAGTAATGCACAACTGCATTATTTTTTTAAGATTCTATTTTTTAAAAGTCCAATTTTTCATGATAAACTTAATAAGAACCCTACCTACTTAGTTTACTTCTTATGATGATCATGGCATAGTTCATGGCTTGAAATTGTAGACAACTATTTGCCACTCTTGGGACATTTAAGAGTACCATAAAACCTCAGGAATGTGGAGGGCGTGTAGGATAATTTCTGATCCACTTCTGTATCATGATATGAAATATATCTGTATAAATACACCCATAAAATAAAATACAAATATAAATATATCCATATAAATACCAAATATAGGTTATATGAATACTCCTAAAGTAATGGCTGTTAAATAGTATATTAGATTTTTTCCCCTTTTCCTTTGATGAATACATTGAAATTTATTCAGGAATATTTGGTCTTTGGAATACCTTTTGTGTACAGAAATTAATAGATCCTAAAGTCAATATTTTAATTGAGACTTATTTATTGAACCAGTTGATCTTACATGAGCTAATGAGTGTTATTAAGTTACTGAAATAGCAAAATTTCTTGCTTGTTTATGTTTAAGATTGGATATCAGCTGTTCAGGAGTTAAGTTGCCCAAAATTACACAGTAGTTCCACCTCTGTCTGTTACCATAAAGGCAGTAATTCAGCCATGTACATATTTTATCTCTCCAGTACAAAACTCTAAGATATCAGACATTGTTTTTTTTTTTTAAGTAAACCTGGTAAATATTGGATTATCATTTATATTTGCATGTTTTTAGATCTAGAAACATAATATCCTGAAATAAAGAGATGGGATGCCCCACATCTCTCATCACTTTTCTCTTAAATAAAGAAGGCTGGGACACACACACACGCACGCACAACAAACAAAACAAAATAAAATAAAGAAGTAGGATGCACTCAATATCCCATAGACTTCAAAAAGCCTGAATATCATTTTACTGAAGAGGCAGCAGTCTGGCTCTACTTCAAATTTTCCTTTGGCTCAAAACTCATAAGTTATCAAGGTGGCCACAGAACTATATAAAGCACTTATAAAGCTCTGAAAACTCAAAAATAAATTCAAATTCACCGATAGTTAGATGCATGGCAGAAAAGCCGATTATTTGTGATTGCTGTTAATTCTTTGCTTGTGTTCACTAGAACAGTAAAGAGTCCCTACTACTAAACTGCCCCCCACTCCACTGAAGCCTGTGACTAATTGCCTTAAACTCAAAAGGAAAATGACAATTAAAAGATTAAAACTTTATAAAAATGTCTGCTATTTGGATACACTTTTCCTTAGCTTATATTTGCCAGTTTCCGACTCAGGGTTGACTTTTACATTTACATGTTCATAGCACTGGCTTAAAAACATAAAAATTTCAGCTTGAGTTCTATTGGGAAACAAGTATATGAAGTGTAGAGACTAAGCTTGTATAGGATTATCAGTTCTTTCAGTGATTTACTTTGTGATTCTTTTTTGCCTTCTTTCAGTGCTCAATTTTCATTAATAAAATTGTCAGAGACTCCAGGTCATCAATAGTATATAAGTGAAAGATGATGGAATTTTACAAAACATCTTTTATCTTTTAATATCTGCCTCATTTGACAAGAAGCTTAATTAAACAACAAATAAAAGGACCCCTGTGAACTAGTGAGCTAAACCCGAAAGCTGATGAATTGTTGTTGGACAATAAACTCAAAATAATAAATTGTCTCTTTATGAACTCTGGTAGCATTAACATTACAAGGCACATTTGTTGAAAACAGTTTGTCTTATGGTTGCCCAAGAGATAAAAATAAAGCCAATTGTTCTTGATTTCTCCATTAATCTTGGAGAATGCTCATGGAGAATGCTACTGAATTTTCTGAAATATTTAGTTTTTGGGAAAACTTGTGTTAATGTGGTTTGTTTTAATTCCCCTCCTGATAGTTTCATTTAAATGTCAATTAAACATCTTTAATAACACCTGCATGTTTAATAAAATCAAACTCAACAAGGAATGCTGCTGTGAGTGAGAAACTGCATTCTTTCCCCTGGGAGAGTGTTTTTGAAATCAGGAAGGGATTGATGAATTGTGAGTAGGACATCACCTAAATCATAAAGTTTTAAGTAGAGTAGCACTAAATTTGTGATATAAAGAGCAAGTTAAAACTGTTATAAATACAATGAGGACAGAAGATGAGAGGAAATTGCTAAGAAATTTTGTATGTCTGTTTTTCCCTGTAATATTTATTGGTATAGGATTCTAGTAGTCAAAATAAAATGAAATCTCTTTCATAGCCTTGAATTAGGGAAGTTTTAAGTAGTGCAAAGAATGTCCCTTGAGAAGTATTAGGATAGAAATACGTTACAATGATGTGTTCTTTTACAAATTTTTAGAAAAAAGTTGAAAACTCTTATTTTCCTGTCATAAAAAAGTAATTCTCACCCTCCGTGAGTTTTGTCAGATTCCAGTAAGCTTAGTTCTGTCGCCAAAAGATGATGCTGTGATGTTAAGCTATTTCTAAAGGTACAAGGTTCCTGCAACTACAAAGATAGGATGCTCCAGTGATAACAAAATTAAAAGAGTGAGCTTTTGTGCTATGTTTATTCAGTCATCTGACCAAAGCAATTCCCTAAAAAAGTGTGTCCTATTCCATGATTATCGATAGATATGTGTAAACAATTATGATCGAACTCTCTGTTGAATGAAGATAGCTCAAGTGATGCTAGATGGCTTAACTAATGTTATTGAAGTATAATTGATACACAATATTATATTAACTTCAGGTGTACAACATAGTGATTCAATAATCCTATACATTACTTATTGCTCACCATGATAAATGTAGTCACCATTTGTCACCATAAAACGTAATTACAGTATTATTTATTATACTCCCTATGCTGTACTTTTCATCTCTGTAACTTGTTTATTTTATAACTAGAATTTTGTACCTCTTAATCTCCTTCACCTGTTTTGCTCATCCCCCCACCTTCCTCCTCTCTGGCAATCACCGGTTCTCTGTATTTATGAGTCTATCTCTGTTTTTTGTTTGTTTGATCATTTATTTTGTTTTATAGATTCCATATGTAAGTGAAATAATATGGTATTTGTCTTTTCTGACTTATTTGACTTAACATAATGCCCTCTAAGTCTATTCATGTTGTTGTAAATGGTAAGATTTCATTCCTTTTTATAGCTAAGTAATATTCCGTTGTGTGTGTATGTTTGCATGTGTGTGTGTCTATACGACATCCTCTTTATCCTTTCAATTATTGATGGACACTTAGGTAGCTTCCGTATTTTGGCTATTGCAAATAATGTTGCAGTAAACATAGGGGTGCGTGTATCTTTTCGAATTAGTGTTTTTGTTCTCTTTGGCTAAATATCCAGAAGTGGAATTCCTGGGTCATATGGTATTTCTAGTTTTAATTTTTTGATGACCCTCCATACTGTCTTCCCTAGTGGCTGTGCCAATTACAGTCCCACCAGCAGTGCATGAGGGTTCCCTTTTCTTCACATCCTTGCCAACAGCTGTTACTTCTTGTCTTTTTGATACTAGCCATTCTGACTGGTATAAGGTAATAGCTCATTGTGATTTTGGTTTGTGTTTCTGTGATGATTAAGTAATGTTGAGCATTTGTCGTGTGTCTCTTGGCCATCTGTATGTCTTTGGAGAAATGTCTATCCAGGTCCTCTGCTCATTTTTTATTGGATTTTTTTTTTTTTTTTTTTTGGTGTTGAGTTGTATGAGTTCTTTATACATTTTGGATATTAAGCTCTTATTGGATACGTCATCTGCAAACATATTCTCCCATTCAGTAGATTGCCTTTCCATTTTGTTGATGGTTTCCTTCATTGTGCAAAAGATTTTGGGTTTGATACGGCCCTCATTGTTTATTTTTGCTTTTGTTTCCCTGCCTGAGGAGAAAGATCCAGAAAAATACTGTTAAAATTGATGTCCAGGAGATTACTGCCCATGGTTTCTTCTAGGGATTCTATGGTGTCAGGTCTCACATCTAGTCCTTAATCCATTTTGAGTTTATTTTTGTATATGGTATAAGATAACAGTCCAATGTCATTCTTTTGCATGTGACTTTCTAGTTTTCCCAACACCATTTATTGAAGATATTGTCTTTTCCCCATTGTATAGTCTTGCTTCCTTTGCACAGATTATTTGGTGCTGTAAGTATGGGTTTATTTCTATACTCTCTGTCCTGTTCCATTGATTTACATGTCTGTTTTTATGCCAATACCATATTGTCTGTTTTGAAATCTGGTTTGTGATACCTTCAGTTTTATTCTTCCTTTTCAAGACTTCTCTGGTTATTCAGGGTCTTTTGTGGTTCCATACAAATTTTAGGATTATTTGTTCTAGTTCTGTGAAAAATACTATTGGTATTTGATAAGGGATTACATTGAATCTGTAGATTGCTTTAAATAGCTTATTTTAAATTTGTTCACATGTTGATCCAATATTATGTTATTCACATATGTAGATTAAAAGTGTATGTTACATACCTTTCTTTGCAATTTTGATTTTGAAGAATATACCTAGAACTAAAGATATGCATTTTTCCATTCTTTGTAGACTTTGTCTTCTGTTTTTCCAAAATACTTTTGATAATTTATTTGTATTTATTATACTAATCACTAACATTAATACTGCCTTTGTGCCAGGCATTATTTTTAATTCTGTAAACAACACTGTGAATTAAGCACTATTTTTATCCTCATAAAATGAAGAATCCAAGAAAGTAACTTGCCTGAGGTCACAGGGATGGAAAAGGACACACACACACAAAAAAAACCACATCAGTCAGACTCCAGAGCCAGAGCCATTTTGGTAGATGATGCTAGAAATAGTTTTAAGACTCACAAAATCACAATGAAACTAACTTTATCATGTTAAAGGTGTCACAATAGACTTCTGCTTTTTCCCTTAGAATATCATTCCTTCCTGAAAATAAAGGAAATAAAATTCATTCTCTATACCATCCCTAATTATCTCTTCAGTTTTGGATTCATCAAGGTGAGGATGAGGGAATTACTCCTGTGGAACATGTTTCTTTCATTGCAGTAGGTAAGGTCTCCCTTTGTGGCTATGGGAGCAAGTCTGAGCTCAGACAAAGGATAACTATAGGGAAATTTATTATTCATTCCCTTCAGCTCACTGTGCAAATTTATCAGAGGAGTGTCTTATAAGTTCAATAGAGCCTACATTTTCTCTTAAAAATAATTCAAACGTTCTTTTTTATGGATACCATTGCAGCATCCACTAAGGAGAGCACTGAGATATGCTCAATTTTTCCATTTCCTAAATATCTTTTATATGACAAGATATAAAAAAAAACTATCATTTTGGTTTTAGTTCCATTACTGTCAAAAATAAAAGCATTGAGAAAGAGAACTGTAAGCTTTGGGCAATTTCCAGCACTCTTTTGCCTTCTGCACTTTCATTTATATGTTCCTGAGGATCACAGTTGTTAATGAAAACAAATTTAAAAGCAAGGAACAGAAAAGTTAGACATTTTCTGCCGCAGAGTATGAGTTGGCAAGAAGGGCACATAAAAGGCAGAGCTGAGTGCTGAGCCGTGTGCTATTTTAGGGCAGTGCTCGCCCTGAAACAATGTGCTGAGATGTAAAAAGATGGCAAGTTCATCCTGCATTTCCAAGGTGCATGCTTCTCCAAAACGATCATTTCAACCTTCCCTCCTTATTCAGTGGGAATTAACTGCCCTTGAGAACTCAGTTGTGAAATGTTACTGTTGCAGAGTGCTTTTCACTTTTTGGAGATTTCCACTTGTTATGTCATTTATTACAGAATGCCTATGAAGTAGTTAGGCATGAAAGCCCAGAGGGGTAAGGACCTCCAGCCCGATGGTGGCAGAGGCACAACTAGAGGAAATGGCATAAGAAGAGAAACATTAATTATTAGCTGTGCTTGTCGAGAATTCTGCAAATGTATATTGTAAAATCTTCAGAAATACCAAGCCGTTAATAGGAATTTTAACAGATTTGCCTCATGTGATTTGCTTCCCAAAGTATGTGTAACATGGTACCTTTAACAGTCCCTAAATTTTCAATTAACTACTTCTTTTTTTTTAGCAATAATTTGTGGATTATTATGTCAAAATTTAAATATATTTAACACTATATTAGAAATGTTTTTGAATTCTCTTTGGAAAGAATGAGGCTATACATAAATATCAAAAATTCATATTTTTATTTGTGTCTAATTCATGTTAAGTTAATGAACATACTGCCTTTCCCAAATTACAACTCCCATAGTCAAGAGTTTTGATTGTTGTGCTGTGTACATCAGGATACCATTTTCCTCTTTGTCAACCCCTGGAATAGAGTATTCTACTCTTTCCATTTATGTATTACCTTAGAAGGAAAAAAAATCATTAAAGTAATCTCATGTCCTAGTTTGAAGTGATGTCAGTGAAAATGCCTGATATTCTTGCCTTTCTCAATTTTAGCAGTTGCTAGCATTTAAGATTCTTGATTAAAAAGTGTGAAATATTCTACCTAATTAATTCCTAATTTGCTACCCCACTGAAACCAGAGTTTGAATGTAAGATTGTTCGTATTTAATCTTCTATATAATGTAACGGCTAATGTCAAGTCTCTAGTCTCTGTGGACTTGATATACCAAAGAATTCAAAGCAATATAATTTTGCAACAGATAATTGCTATTCCTCTAGGAGGAGGGTCAGACTGCTGATCTCATCAAAACAACAAAACAAAACACCTTGATTCTCTGCAGGAGTAATAGCACTAAAGAAGCAATTGCTAAATTCTTTCATGAAAAACATCTTATTTCCTTATCATGGCGTTTCACTTTCTAAAGATAGAATCAGTTATGGAGAGGGGATGTATATCTGAGTAAAAATAAATGTACTATCTATATACACACATACATGTGTACACATACCCTGTGAGTAAAGATCTGTTGTGTTTCACTACCGATTAGGTCTGTCCTGAGTATACTGACTTGTAAATGCACAAAACAAAAGTTGAAAAGTTAGGGAAAAAGCTATTGTATTCCTGGTATCGTCTTTAATGTATTATTTATGTTTTCTTATGTTCGAGTTTCAAATACCGCAAATTTATATTCATATAGTAATTGGTGATTAGCTTGGCAAACACTTTAGTTCTTAACATATTACTGCAACCCAGATGTACGTAGAGTAACAGCTCAGTGCAAGTGAGCTGAGGCGCAGAGCAAGAAACTGTAGTGTCTTTGAGCCTTGCCTCCTTCCCATTACTGATGGTTAGTCATGGTGAGAACAAAGGGACTTGCTGAACCTGTCAGAAGGAGGTAATCCATTGTTACTACAGATAACATGAACAGGAACCTCAAGGGAATGAATTGGGCAAATCGTATGGGACGACACCGCAAATACCTAAATTTGTTCCCTACGCTTGCTGCTTTTACAGCCAGTGAAGTCTTGCAGCCCAAGTTGCTCATGTTACTCTAGTTAGCATGAATTGCCAAGGAGTTAGCAGATTTCCAATTATAGCATATGAAACATAATCTTTATGTGCTTTGTTTTCTAAAATCTTCATTTCAGAAAATTTAGATTAGAAAAGACCTCTTCTCTTCTGTAAACAGACATCATTTTGTACAAACTGTATGAGGTGTACCAAGCTGGTGCTTCATTCATTACTGAAATTTGATAGTGGACACAAGTCTGAAGATTTTAAGACTACTAGCAAAATTAGAAACCGAGAGTAAAGGGAGTCCAATACCCTGATATTCCTGACCTTCCTTATTTGGCTCAGGTAGAAGGGGGTATGTGTGGCCACCGTCCTCTCAAGTGTTAGAGACCATTACAGGTAAAAAAACAATTCCAACAGAACTGCCATTCTTAACACAGGGACCTTTTGTTTAATGAAAAGTGAATAACACCAAAGTGATTATAAAATGGACTTGTATAAACTAAATAACATTTGTATTGAATTTCTTTATGAAATTAGAGTTTGTCTCTAGGTATACAAATCATTCAATAGACTGGCTTGAAAAACTTTCAATAAAGAAACTTAAGAATGATGACCAGGCATGTAAAAATTCTGATAATATGATGCAGTGAATATTTTGGAGCTCTTTTTATAACTTTCCAACCTCTTAAATACACACTAGTTGTTATAATTCAAGCAAAAACAAAATCTCATAACTTATTGGACTTATTGGATAATTTATTTTGGATCAGTTGCCAGTAAGAGCCTTAAACATTCTCTAAACATTATCAACCTGGCTCTGTATTTACACGTAACTGTTATTAGTAATAATGATGCAAACAGTGGGAAGCAATTGGAGTCTCATTGGTATCATATACAAATCTGGGTATAAATAGAAGCCCTCTTTCTTGCATCAAAAGCTTCCAACTTTTGCTGGTCCATCCAGCTAGATTGTTGCTACATAAATTCAGACTCATGAGCTATTTTTTTTTCTTCCCTGAACAGTAATGCTCACAACATTCCAAGAGACCAGAACATTAAGCTGGAATAAAACAATGAGTGTATTGTCATCATCAAAAGGAACATTTTGAATTTTATTAGAAGAAACCAATTAAGATGTTATTTTCAAGCACAGGGCTTGGCATGGCTTCAGAAAGTTACTTCCTGGAATCGGGCAGGGGTTTAGCTGGCACAGAGAGATCTTTAGCTTAACGTCTTGACAGCTTTAATGCACATGCAACTGGAATTTTTTTTCTTTAAGCTGATTCTCTTAAAAGCATGCTTCCTGCCACTGTTCAACATAATTGCATCAATTCCATTTTCCATTAGTACTCAAAACCTGCTGATATGACTGGAGTTGTAAAACCTTTGTGTGAAAATCTAATTATGCATCATTTTTTTTTTCTGGACGATCTTATAATGCATATGTTGTATGCAGTTGTATGTTTTTTATTTTGATATTTAAAGTAGGATAAGCAAAGAGATCTTTATGCCAGTATTATATATTTTGGTTATTCATTTAATTGTATCAACAATAGTGGTGTAAACAATTTTCTATTACAGGAGGAAAAGAACATTCAATAGGCTATATTTTGTTGAAGAAGAAAGAGCACTTATATGTGTATTAATAAAATATGCTCATTTCAGATGAAAGGAAAGGATTGCTTCTCTCCTCATTTATGTCTGTAATAGCTATATCTCTTATCATTTATTTTCAGCAGTTTGCCTTTATAGAATCTTGTATGATCATCTGCATTGGTTTAGCTCATCTCATATCTGTCTACTTTTCTGATATGTATTTGACACTTTTCTATACATATAGTTATGTGTAGACATTTCAGATATTACATTAGAAATTTAAAGTATAAAATACACTCATCTGGCAGTTTATCACCTTGCGTTTGTTTTCCTCATGTCCCCTCTTTCGTTTTTCTTCTTCTTTAATTGAAGTGAGAAAAAGATTGTCAAGGTTAACCTGAAATTATTCACAAAATGGTGAAAGCCTCAAAGCCCAGGTGCTGATGGAATGTGTAGCAGGAACGGAGTTAAAGGTGGCCTAGAGTTAAGGTGTGTCATTTATTTATGCTTTGGAAATGAAATTCAGTGTCCTCAGCACTTAGGTGAAATGATCTTTAAAACAAATAACCATCTTTGGTTTCCAATTTTTACAATAAATTTTTGATAGTAAAATAGAGTTTTAAAATATTTTCTAAAATTGCTTTTGGGTAAAAAAAATATATTGGATTTTTTTATAACTAAAGATAAATTTGATGAGGTCCTTTAATAGCTTAGATCTCTTTCGAGGTATACAAGTATCTTTATTAATTGCCAACAGTACAGATTTTGTTCACCCTAAAGTGAAAGCTGAGAAATCTGGTTAGAATGGATTGTTGACAAATTATGGGTCAATATGAGAAAAAGCTTTTAGGCTTTTATAAACACTGGTGTGTCCATCTGTTTCTTACTCCTTTGTTCCCCATCCTCCCTACTTGAGATAGATTCCATTAATAAATCATTTAAATTAAAAAAAAAAAAAAGACCCAAAGAACTGCATTGAATTCCAGGAATATTTTAGAGTGCCCACCTTGTGCAATGTTGTGTGCTACCTCTTTCAGTACAAAAAGAAGAATGGCATGAATCCTCTCCTTGGTGACCACCTGTTCTAGTCAGCAGGATATGCCAACTACATAAAGAACTATTATACCAGGCGCACCAGGCCATAAAAGAGGCACAAACAACTCATAGAAGAGGTCAGTTTTGAAATAAAAACATTACCTTAAATTGGCTTAGATATTTATTGGCTTTAAACCCATTGTAGGCATTAATCATTCTGCTAACAGGGATTAGAATTTTTATCATGGTTATAAACTAGATTGAGAGGGGAATTCAGTTGGAATGCCAAAGAAGAGGCATTTGCACTTGAGGAAAGGTCTCCAAGCCTCTGAGGGAAAGCACTTTTGCTGGGTTTCCTTTGTTTTGTTTTGTTTTGTTTTATTTACCTCCAAATTCCCAGCAGTGTCTGTAACTATGCAGAATCATTATCACCACCGGACTGATCAGTTGACAAACAGCTTGACTCCAGTTTGCCAAATTGTCTTTAAATACCCTGCATTGAAAATCCTCAACTGTATAGAGTGGTGGTAGGGGTGGGGAACTGGTTTTATCCTCTCCATTTCTTGATTTCCAGATCTCTCGTTTGCTCACTCTCCAGCGCATGTGCGCATGCTCTCTGTGCTCTCTCTCCTTCTCCCCTTCTCTCCCTCTCCTCTCTGCCCCCCACAATCTCGGCCATATTTGAGGGATAGAGCAAAGGCATGAAGGAGCCAGACCCGAGGTTCAAAATAATTAGGTCTTCAGAAACATCTTCCATGCCCCCAAATGAGTTCCATACCAGAGGTCATTCTTTCTCTGAGCTTTCCTTCCCATCAGCAGTTTGCCACTACTTCATCATAAGGCTACAAGACAGAAGAAATTAAGCCAGGGAAAAAAAATCAGTAATTCTGAGTTTTAGGAATGATGGCTTGGGTTAAACCTAAGACCTCAGAACAGTGATTCTCAACGTTGGCTACACATTAGAATCATCTGGGAGCTTTAAAATCCTGATGCCCAGACTACACCCAGAGCAATTATGTCAGTATATCTAGGGATGAGGCATAGAAACTAGTGTTTTTAAGATACTCCAGGCGATTCCAGTCTTCCAGTTAGGAATCACTGTCCCCAAATCCCTAAAGTTCACTTTCTGTGAGAGAACATGAAATCTCCGAGGAATTTTTAACAATGAAAGAGCTGTGTTCAGCCTATTGCTCTAATGGTGTCCAGGATAGCACTAAACAGTAAATTTTAGCTCCTTTACTCAACAATTAAGATTTTCAGTGCCAGAGAAATCATCATTACTGTAGCCATAATGTAGCTTGAGTGTTGACAACCCTTTAAGAGTGAACAAATACCCTTCACTCACTTCTATGTGAAATGTGAAGATCCAATTCAAAGCCATGACCTAGAAAATTATGTTCTATTTTTATTTCCTTTATATTTTGAAATGTAGGGGCATCTCAGTGAGGTTCTTGACAACTTAAGCTAGGTCTTGATTTACGTTACATCACTGGTCATAGAGTCTGCTGCTAAGAAAATAAAGGTTTGTGCAATTGATGCTCTCTCCTAGACAATTCATTTGTATGTACTTTGTGTCTGATTGTGGGATAACAGACCCTCCAGAAGGTAAGAGCTTACAGATAGTAGTGGTAGAGGTAGGGAGAGTGGGAGTAAATGTAACATAGGGAAGGTTTCTTCTCAGGAAAAAAAAATATGTCACCTATGGCAATGGGAACAGGTTCTGTTCTTTTTTCCTATATCCTTCTTTTCCAGCCTCTTCAATGACCATGATGCATAATAGATGCTTAATAAATACTTGAAAATCAAAGAACAAATGACTTATATTTGCACTAGCAATGTAGAGTACTGGAGGGGAGCAGGAGTAGGTTAGAAAGCACAAAAATAGTGAATCAAACTCTGTCTAGCTCTGAGTTCCAGGATCACAAAGGGCCAGTGATTCAGAGAGACCTTTCTTAATATGCTTTTAACCTTCTTCTTAGAGAATTACCTTGGTTTAGGTCTCTGAGCTTAGTAGTGTCATCCTATTACTGTTATGTGGGTAGAAAAGACATGGCTTTTATTAGCTTATGAAACCTGCATACTTACAAATCAGATTTCTGGAGTAAAATACCATGTGTAAGGGTAATGAGAGAGAAATAAACAAAGCAATGTTATAAGCAGGTCAGTAAACAGAACACAAAACCGAGTACTTGGGGCTTTGAAGAGTCAGTATTGACTATAAAGGATATGTCATATTTACATGGTTATATTAAAACAACATGAATTAAAAACTTGGCCATTCTCAAGAGCTTTATGGTGTTTGTTTCAATGTTCCAATATGATGTCTTTCATTAGAGGGGAAAAAACTGTTTTTGTGGAAGATAGAAGTTTAACACCTTGAAATGCACAATATACATAAAATGGGCAAATTCTGGAATTCACAGTTTGCTCATTGGATGCAGTTCATGAAGGAGAAGAAAATAAGCTAGTTATTAAGTGAAACCGCAAACGGTGTTCTAGGACATTGTGTGTTTTTTAGGATTCTAGTCACATCAAACTAAGATTTTTTTTCCTAAGCTTCCATCTATAACTTTATTGACTGATCTTTAATGGAAAGATATATATTTTGCCTTTAAAAGAAATGATTAGATGTGGTGTGCTCCTATTATTTAGGACTTGGTAGCAAGTCTTGCAAAGTATATAAACAAAACAAAGTAAATGAAGAACTGACAAATAACTAATAAATGCTTAAAATATTTCCAGGAATAAAATACCAATATCTGGCTTCATAGACTTTATGAATGCAACTCAATGTATCAAAATGCAAATTTCACAAATGGAAAATACTTTTGTAACATACTAAATTAGCCACATTGGTTAATTTTAGGGTCATGAGTCAAAGGAATATTTCCTTTATCATTTATTCATTTGAGAGTATCATTGATAAAACTCAAGTCATCATTTAATTCTAACATGACAAATGGAAAAATTGCTTGACTTTTAAAATAATATTCAGGTTCCTAATATATTTCTGGAGTTCACCCACCAAAATGAAGTGCAGTAATTCCTTGTACCACCCTCTTTAACAGGCAAAACTGTGACTCATTTCCCCCACCCAATTAACACCAGATTGTTTAGTGCAGTGTATAAAATGAGGTGTTATAGCTCAGTTGTTCCCAGTTTATTTTTAAGCCACTTAGGCAATATATCCAACATCTTCTCTTCCTGGGAACACATACTAAAATACAAATTATACATTTTTCCATATTTCATTCTTGGGTCTGTGCTATCTCAGTAGTAAAGAGGAAAAACGTGATGGAGAATTTATAGGGCAGTGCGATGAACTAGTCATGGAAGAACTATATTTTATGCATTCACTTGTTACGTAGAAGGATTTTATTTACTTATATTTAATGGATGATTCACAGGACAGTTGTGAATAGGCCCTCCTAACCATTACCTTTGCTTCATTTAAACCAAAATGGAACAGCTGTTTCTGTTTTGTACACTCTATAGCTAAGGCAAATAGGTCAGGCTTAGGAGCACAGTGCCTGGGTTTGAAATATTTCTCCACCAGTTAGAAGCCATGTAACTCATGGCAATTCCCTCAACTTCCCTGGACTTTATTTACTAGGCTATAAAGTAAGGATAAATTAGTTCTTACCTAATACTTTCATCATGAATATTAAATGTGGTAATGTATGTAAAACATTTAGCAAGACATGATACACAGTAAAAATACACTAAATGTTAGATGTTATTTTTATGATTTTGTATAAAGCTGAGGGAATTAAAAGATGACTAGGATACACTCCATGTCCTTAAGAAATATATTGTCTGTGTATATTAAGAAACATCATTCTAGAGGTGGAAAACTTGTGGGTCACTGGCCTAAAAAAGAATGTTCTTGGCTCCATAATATTTAAAAATGAATTAGCTGCTAACAGTTAAGAGTCAGATTTTTGTTGATGGTGTGTATTTCTCATTGTTCTTGAGAAGTCAGAGGATCTAGAAAGGATAGATGGGGGGCTGAGTAGGGCTGTCCCCTTCTAGCCTGATTTCCTTTCATTTATGTTCACCTGTCTAAACCTTGCCAGCATGAGAGTTTTCTACTCTTGGTCTAGAGTTGGGCACAATGACAGATAAAAAATCATTTCTGGTTAAAGCAAGAGTCTTAGAAGAATGCTGTCTCTTTGGTGGCATTAGGGCATAAAAGAGAAAAAAATAGAACTCTTTCTTTCAAGAATATATAATTAGAAAAAAAAAGGAAATAAAAATAATAAAACAAGGTTTATATCGTATCTTCCTAAAAAAATATACACCATGTTCATGATATTGAACATAAATAGAACCAAATTGAACAAAATAATACATTTACTTTTGTCCTTATTTATGAAAATATTAGTTATGAAAAAGTAAGTTGGGAAAGAGCGTGTAAGAAAGGTTAGTGAATGGAATCAAAAACAGCACTTCTTTTTTCATAAATATGTAGGTATGTGAGCATATATTGAGGTTTGCATGAAGACACAAACTGTCCATAAAATAACAGGCTATGTTGACAGACTTTAGGATAGAATTTATCAAGGCACTAAGATCAGCAGAAGAAGTTAGAGAAGGTTTGGTTAGGCTGTGATTAATGATGTGATCATATAGCCTGTTATTTTGTGCCTAAAAAAAGCTCATAAAATTTTTTATTCAATCATTTCATTGAAAATCTAGTGTCAGATATCCTAGGTTCATACATATTTATTTAAGGAAAGAGATCTTACATTAAGTATTCTGATACTCAACACAGTGTTATTATGGAAGTCTGATTCCCAAGTACTGTGAGCTGCAGGACTGATGTGATTTGGTTCTGCCCATATTTTGCTAAATATTGACAAAACATTGCCTGGAGCATATATATACTATCAATATAAAAATTCTTGTTTTATTATGATGATACATATATATCTCTGTTTCTATTATACAATGAGCTCAATGTTACTCATCTTTAATAAGAATTGTTTCAGATTGAGTCCTTGGGTTCATATACTTTTCATTTTTTAAATCTGTGAAATTATTTAGAAAAAACAAATCTTCTGGATATGGTCTTCATAAACTACATCTAAATTCTCCCTTGTTATTCTTTGTGTCAATTCTTATTGACAATTACATCAAGATGTAAGTACAAAGAAAAAAATATTTCCAAGTTCATAGAGTTTAGAAATTTTTATTATGTATTCACTCAACATGGTTATGATCCATTGTTCTATACTATCTGACTGTACTATCAATTAATAAAGGTACTGAATAGCAAATTAAAAAGAAAATTAATTTAAAAGTTATAGTTAAACCAAGTAACACAGTAGCCTTAATCTTTATTTTTTTTATTATGTTACGTTAATCACCATACATTAGTTTTTGGTGTAGTGTTCCATGATTCATTGTTTGCATATAACACCCAGTGCTCCATGCAGAATGTGCCCTCTTTAATACCCATCACCATAGCCTTAATCTTTAAACTGTAAATGCAACCTTCTTCTTAATCTCCTTTGACTGAATTTCCATTCTATTCTTTGTTTTCCCCAGTATCCAATCTTCCACTCAGTTAAACAGCTTCAGACTGTATTCCAGCAGCTTTCCTCAGCTGGTTACCTTTCTGCTCTTCAAGTTCCTGATTCTCATTCTTTCCTTTTCTGCACCTCTGAGCACTCTTTTCTGTCTGTGTGCCCTGCCATGCACACCTTCTCTTGTTTTCATTTATCCTTCCCTTCCAATTGAGGCCAGAATTGACCTGGGCATGGGAGCAGTTCTGAAGACTGTGGTCTTCACTAAGCAGCCCTTTTACTGCTAGTCATGTCCTACAGTCCCCAACCTTACAAGAAGACATTTCTTCCCTCCAGAGATCTACTTATCCCACAAGGAACAAAAGAATATTGAGTTTTAATGGACTTTCTGTTTTATGTTTTGATGGAAATTCCCCAATTTAATATTTCTAGTCACTGCCCTACAACCCCATACACTGCCCCACAGCCCAGGAGACAAGAATGAATAATTTTGTCTAGCTCTCGTTCATTTTAGATCCTTATTTTTCTAATAATTACTTGAAGAAAATTAGAGGGAGAAGAAGTAAAAAGAATTACTAACTTTCAGAACCAGCAGGCCAGTGGATCAGGCAGGCCATGCAAGCTGCTGGACAGTTCCACAACCCCATGCTGTCCTCAGGGGTCTTTGTGCCTCTCTCACTCCACTCTCCCTCCCAGGGTGGTGCTCTGAGAGCCTACCACCCTGCCATACACAGTCTCATCAGCTTTCCTTCATTGGGAGGTTGATTCAAGAAGAAGCAGAATATTTTTAAAAAGCTGGCACAGAAGGAAGAGAGGCTAAGATGTAGGTTAGCCGAGTTGCAAGATGGCAAGACTAGAGTAGGGCCCAGTAGACAACCCTGTGACAGCCACTTCTGAAGGAACAACCCCTATGGTTGAACGAGGGTCATTTGAGATCCTATTTGGATCCTATTGGAGCTGAGGTTTAGTTCACTATTATTAGGCTGATCTAGGTGGCTGCTAAGATGAATTTTTGTTTCCCTTTTTATCCTTTTATTTATTTTATTTTTAAATGTATACCTTTTACAAAAGGTAACTTGAGATGGACCTGCTCTTGATAATAGGTGTATGATTGAGGCTTGGTTAATTGATGGCATCAGGAGACAGTAAAATGAAGAAGAACTCCCACAGGTGGAATGACTAAAGGTTAGAGGACAAGAGTTTTTACTGTTACCTTGATTTGACACAAATTATGTCACCAGTGGGTACCCTGAGTAATCACTTTTAGATGCTGATTTGATTGTAGTCTGAAGCATTTTCAAGTTCTCTACAGTTGCATTGTTATTATGGAAGAATAAGCAAATCTAATGTTTGTAGTTGGAGGGCTATTTAAAAGATAATTTAGAAATCATAGAGTAATGTGAATTGTAATGTGATTATGCTAAAAATTGTGTGGGAATACTGAGTGTGATTGATATGAAAAACTAAACACAAATCTTACATTTACATTACTGTAGTCTCTGTATTTTCTCTTTTTATAGCATTTTAGAAAATATTATGAAAAACAATAATTAGGGAGTGCTTACAAACTTTATTCATATAGTAGTATCTTATGCCTAAAGATCAGTCAGTCAATGTTAAGGATGGATTGTAGAAAAAAAACTTAAAAATGAGAACAGTTGACATAATTAATTTATGTAGGATAAGCTTTGTTTTAGACAGCCCTAAATTGAATCATCACCTTGATTTTTCCAGATCACAGAGATATTTTAGAAAATGAGGTAACTGTTTGGATGTTTCCAAAGAGATTTTTTGGAGCATTCTCCTCTGTGTGTTTTTGAAGTAATCATTGTTTCTACCTAGATAATTAATAGATTCCATATAATACTGAGAGCCTTTTATGTTAAAACGTATAAATCTTATAAATCTCTGCAATATTCTAATCACTCTATGTATAATTTGATGTGTATAGTAGGAATTGAAGTTTTATTTATCAAGGATTAGAATTTCTGCAGATTTTCATTTAACATTTTTCATTATTTGCCACTTTGTTAAGCATCATCAGGAAATATATTTTAAAAATTAAAAGATTACTGTATCTCAACATTGGATTCAGGGAACACTGCCCTGCATTGTCAGTTTACATAGGGAAAACTAATGAGGCTATAAAGAAATACTATCTGTTTTATTAGAATTTCTTTTACCAGTGAAACAGCTGGAAAAACAGAGTTAGTCGGCTGGCTTCCATTTTCCATTGCTTTCTGCCCTTCAAATTCAGATTTCCTCTTGTTCGTGACCACATGCTCACCACACACAGACTCCTTGGTTTGTTACTTTAAAGCCACATGGAGATTAAGCACCATTAGTAAAGACTAGGTTAGGAAAAGTTTTAACTAAAATAAATGGCACTTTCAGAGTGTGGATTTATGGAGAGTGTGCATGTGAATGTGTGTGGGCGGGGGTGTGGGTGGGTGGAATAAATCAATTAGGAAGAAATCAGGTGGTTGGGTTGGGTGCCATTAGTGATTGAGGCATGTTTTATGTTGCGATCCCATTTCTAACAGTCTAATTGTAGTAAAATGCCAAGTGGCATTCTGGTAGCCAGAAAGAATATGCATCACTTTCCTATATTTAGAATGAGAATTCTATTGCTGAAAGAAGAACTAGATGTCATTTAATCTGGCCCTTTTATATTACAGCTGAAGTCTAAGAGATTAAATGTCTTGGCCACTAGGCAAATAAATAGAACTTGGGTATATTTGTTGCTTGTCTACGGTATTCCCGTATCATCATCACTCTCTACCTATCCATGTAAAGGGTATATGGAGAAATTAGAAATGCAGCGTGAAGAAGAAAGAGTAAGAGTGGATCTATTCAGGCTTTAAAAAGACATAATCATAAAAGATAAATTGAGTACTGTGAACTAGGAAAGTTTTTGGACCAAAAACAAATAAAAATTTGTTGATGTTTTACACCTACTGTTTATGGTTAGTATCTAAAAAGAGAAAAAAAAGAAAGCATTTAAAGTCATCTGCCTCTACAGCTCATGAAGTGCTATTTAGCCAGTATCAGAGAGGGTCCAATTCCTTCTACTTTGGAAGCATGTTCTTTAGGGAAATAGGTGAATTTTGTTTAAAAAAAAATTTGGTAGAAACATGCATCCATATCCTCTACATTTCAAAAGAACTTCCATAAACATTGCGATAAAAACTATTTAAAAAATCATGTAAGGGTTAATTCCAATAAACATTCTACTAAGAGGACAATGAAATAACTGTGTAAGATATAAAGAACGATTTATGTTCTAGTTTTTTAGGGAGGCACAAGAAGTTTAAATTGCACATATGCAAATCTAATTCACTGTGTTTTTTTATACTCTTTAGCAATAGAGGCCCCCCATTTAAATAAGGAAAAAACGTAGTATATCCTAACACACTCTCTTATGCAACTGCTGCAGTTAAAACTATAATTCACAATATTCAGGAAGTAGTTTGAAGCATTTGTATTGTCTACCAAGGAAAGAATTATCTCATTGCAGTATAAACTGGATATTTATATCATAACAATGACAGAAACAGTTTGGGCTATAGGGTTAGTTTTCTCAGCATTCATGTGTGACAACTCAGGCAAGTTATAGCAATATATTCAAAGTAGACAAATGTCTTCAGCTACCTTTCAGTCATGACACAACATTAAAATCCTTGTAACTTTAAGGTTTGTTTACATTTTTAAAATGCTTATCTGTTTCATAATGGCTGAAGGGCAATTTAAGTTAATTTTTTTATAAGGTCTGGTCTTTTGTTTTCAGGAATTATTTGATATACCTTGGAAATATCCTTAATATAATCCCCTGCATTATTCATGTAACCTGCAAGTTAGAATCTACATAAACACAGGATGACAAGTAACACAAAATACACAATGCTGTATATCAATATGATACCCCCATCAGCCTTTCAAGATACTTCCTGATTTAAAAAATTTCTCATTGAGAACCTACCACATTTAAGGTATCCTGTCCTTTATTGAGCAGAACAGTAAATGATGGACATCTTGCTTTCTAGAAATATACAATCCCATTAAGGAGATGCAGAGAATAATAACTGTACAATATGACACTAAAGAGATAAGGAAAAAAACAAAGAAGTGAGTTTTACCTGAAGAAAGAGTACAGGGGGCACCTGGGTGGCTCAGTCGATTAAGCGTCTGCCTTCGGCTCAGGTCATGATCCCAGGGTCCTGGGATCGAGCCCTGCATCGGGCTCCCTGCTCCGCGGGAAGCCTGTCTCTCTCTGTCAAATAAATAAATAAGATCTTTAAAAAAAAAGAAAGTACAGTTTAAGAATATGCATCCAGGAAAGAAGGTAGAGCGTCTATCTGATAGAACAATGGCGTAGACATCAATTTCCTAAATTCTGTTTGAGTCTAAGACATCATGTGATGGATTGGAACAATGTTGATACCAGGGATTAGGATGAAATGGGACTGGAGAAACTAACCTGGCTAATGTGTTTCCCAGATGTTGAGGTAAACTGATTGACGTGACAAGGCAGTTGGTTGGAGTTTAAGGTACAACATTAAGAGAAAGGGAAAGCCAGACAAGGAGACCAATGTAAATAAACTAACAAAAGAGGATGATTATGATTTAAAAATAAGTAGAACTTCTGGATATCACATTTTCTGCCTCTTTTCCATTAATTATCCTCTGATGAAAGAGTTTAGGTTCAAGAGGTTGAGGTACAACTTTAAGTGTCTAATACAGCACCATTCCTGACTTCCATTCTTTTCTGGAAAATAGGGAAATATTCTAACAATAGTCAATGTCTTACATTCTTTTAGAAAAAATGACAAGAAACAAAATATTTTTGCACTAGAGAAATGAAAAATGGTGGGGAAAAAAGATCATAATACAGCCACACATCCCAAATTTTAACAGAGGAGTCAGTTATTCAGAATGGGAGTTTATTTAGGAACTTGAGTAGATCCAGAGCAAAGTACTTAAACCTGAATCTTTAGAAATAACTTGGAGAAAAAAAACGAATGTTAGAGAACATGTTTTTGAAGAATCTATGTTTGTGAAAAATGATCTAGTGGCTTATATTCAAAAAATTCAAAAAATATTAGAGCGTCTATAGGATCTGTTAGCTATAGGATGCTCTTTCTCTTTTTCCCCTTGGATTTCAGAGCTTTTTAGTACATCATTTTCCTACAATGTCTGGGACCTACTTCTGTCTCCTTTTTTAGGCAATATACACACTGAACTTAATCACAGGTCTATAATAAAGTAGAAAGTCATATGAAAAGAAGAAAATATGATGACTATCTTTGAAGCATTGTACATAAAAGACTATATAACTCTGAGATATAGATGACCTTGGTATTAGAATAATTTTTTTTAAAAAGACCCCCACTAACTGTTGAAGTGGAGATTGGTCTCTCTGTAAATACATTTCAATAATCTGTGCTAAGTCTCCCATTAAAACGTTGGTATGTATTCATCATTTAACTGTGAAAGATTACAGAGAACTGCAAGATAAATCAAATGTCACAGTGATCTTAGTCAATTTGTAAAGCAATAGTTTATTGTCTCTTGTAAAGAAACTCTGTACAAGCCAATGATTTTGTATGTGATCCTAAGATTTTAACATTATGCAAGGAGTAGTTACAAAGCTGTATTTCTAAATGAAGCAGCCTATAACTGATAGAAATATAAATGGAGGAATATATGTTTTTTTTAAAAGACATTTACTGTTTCAAACTTTTGCAGAGGTTATTATCCCAAGCTTATGGTATGTACTTTTAGAAGAATCAGAGGGAAAAAATAAATTTTCCTAGGTAATCATTCTTGTTTGAATTCCACGATTTCAAATGCTTTTTACATTCAAGGGTAAATGTTCATAGTTATACAATTTTCTAGTTAGCGTGGGGAAAAAAAATCATGATTTAGGCAAAGTATAATAGTTCAGTAGTCAAGAGAATGTGTTTAGTTAAGTGGGTGAAATTACTAGTCCTTGTAGTTTTGTAGTTTCTAGTCTGATTTAGGCTATTATATTCAGCAGAAAATGTAGACTATTTTCCCCCAGGACTCAAGAAAATAATTTGAATATTTTTGTTTGTTGTTTAAAGAAATTTGGTATTTCCCCTTCAAAAAATTTTTTTTTAATCAGTCGATCATTCTCATGTATTTTATCACTTAAAACAAGAAAAAAATGTGAAAGGAAGCATAGTTATGTCTTCTTGCTTTTCATTGCTTTTCGGTTCTCTTTTCCTCATTCTCATTCCTCTATATGGGTCCCAAGTTATTTGAAGATTTTATGTGTGTATGTAATGCAATGGATAAAGTGCATTTATCAGAATTTCGGGGGTGGGTGGAGAAGATAAACTGGCCTTATAGGATATTTCTAGTACAGAAACAGTAGAGGTATCATGAGAAGGGGAGGATAGGATGGAGGGGGGTTAGACCCACTGCAATAGATTGTGCACAGTAAGGAGGGACACATATCATGAGTTTGGGCTCAAGAAGGGTATGTATAGAGGGAAGATGGCAAACGTGCTTTAATGACTGATGAGACTAATGAGTCATGGAACACTACATCAAAAACAAATGATGTACTCTGCAGTGGCTAACTGAACATAATTTAAAAATTAAAATAAAAAATAAATAGCAGTTTTACTGCTTAACCTGAAAAAAAAAATAATAATGACTGATGAGATACTCCTGTCTCACTCATGGACCATCTAAGTTAGCTGAGCATCACAAAATGCTGAGTGTGTCTGAAATTTCTGTGGAAATCAGCAGGAAGGTGGAACATCCAAGTCCTATCTCACATGGGGTAGAAGTATGTAGATGGCTCTGAACCAAGAAGTGAAACAGACTCAGAAATTGGGGTCTCAAGCAAGATTCATTAAATCTTGTTAGTTCAGGGAGGCCTCAGTTAACATACAGATTACGTGTGCATGTGCTTTGTAAAGAAACACACTAAAATACAATACTGCAAAGGTCATAAAATAATAGCATTATACCTAGATAATGCATTTATTTGTTACACAGGATATTTGACTGCTGTTTTGGGTTTTGGAGAAAGTGATAATATGCTATAATATATGATTCAGGACAGTATTTAGAAAACAACAACAACAACTTTGCCAGAATCTGAACTTTCTCTGTAGAGAGATTACTGAGCTCTTGCTTCTTCTTTGGTATTTTTGGAACTCCGTGAACTGTGTAGTTAGTTCATTATGTGCCAAGCTAGGGGGAAAGTTCAGTCACTGCTGAATGTGTGTGTTTCAGCCTTCAGACCAACAGATTTAAAAAGTAGAAAGTATATATAATAAAATAACTCAGCCAAACCTCAAGTGAAAAGCAACTTCGGTCATTTTTGAGCCTTTAGGTTTGGTTGTTTAGAAGTGGTTTCTAAAGTTTATTTTACCAAGTACTCTTTCAATATTTTAAGCTTTCTGAACTTACTTTCATATTCCTTTATACACTTTTAACCTTGTCATTAATCTTTTTATTGAGTTTTATGGCCTATGTTGAAAAGGGTGTGGCAGGTAAAGGGTACCTTTGGAACCTTGGAAGACCCTCAGCTTCCTTCAGGAACATTTGCCCGTATCAGCCACTGAGGAGATCAAAACTAAAAATGAGCTTTCTTTTTTTCTTGCCCTTGATTGAGCCATGGTAAAATTTTATCCAAAAGTGACAGCAATAAATGTTAAAGATTTACATATTGAAAATGTGATAGATTAAATTGGACAAGTACCCAGATTGTCAAAGACAACAGACTTCTTAGCCACAATGTCAATGCCTCAATATGTTAGAGTTCTGAAAACAAATGGTTTCTCTTAACACACATCTAATCTGATTCACTTCTGCACATTTTAGTGTTTCCAATTATGAGAACAATAGGCTGCATCTGAGAACATCAAACATCTAAAAACTGAATAATATGGTTGCTAATTTTGCTTAAAGTGCAAAGATATAATTTGAATGGGTATTCGCCCTCTCCCAACTCCATGGTTGACTTTACTAAGTAAGTTATTTTTGACTGTGTTATTAAACATTCTCATAGATACAAAAATATGTTTATCACTGGGTATTATTTAGGAGGGTGCTACACAAATGCATTCTTTTTTCTTTTTACACTATATGATGTGTCATAATTTCTGTCATCACATTTATGCTTAAAATAACTACATCTCTACAACACTGCACTCTATTTGGAAATATATACAATTACTTTGATTTGTTGTATTTATCTAAAATACACATTTTTATTAACAATGCATACTCAATTAGTAACCATACCTCTTTGAGAAGAATGTATTTTTTTTAAGATTTTATTTATTTGAGAGAGAGAGAGAGCACAAGTGGGGAGGTGGGGGGCAAAGGAAGAGGGAGAAGAAGACTCCCCACTGAGCAGGGAGCCTGACACCCAGCTCTATCCCAGGACCCTGAGATCATGACCTGAGCAGAAGGCAGACACATAACTGACTGAGCCACCCAGGTGCCCAGAGAAGAATGTATTTTAAGGTTAAACTGAATTATAATGTAGAACTTATATGACAGGTATTTAAAGTCAATCACAGGGACAGGTGGTAATACAAGAAAGAAGAAAATGACACTTTATTAAAAGGGAATCATCGATGATAAGTAATTGCAGATTTTTTCATAATACGAAAAGGAGATTGTATGTATGTGATTATATGTAATACAAATTATACAAGATTAGGAATACTGAGGCCTAGATTCTAGTTTTAATTTGACTATTCCAGTCCCTTAAACTTCACGGTCTTTCTTTTTCTCTTATCTAAATGAAAATATCAATAACTGTCCTTTCTCAACAGGGTTATTGTGAGATCAAATGGGAAAAAAAGACCTTTATTTTTATAATATAGAATTCAAGATACACAATTTCAAATATATGATCAAATCAAAATACTTTTTAGCATTCAACTATGAGACAAAATACAGCATACTTTGTCTCCTTAGTTGGACTTAGCATATTTCTTTAGTTATTGTGGTTATAAATATTTAAAATGTTTACTATGTCTAAGCGCAATCAAAGCCAATTCGAGGACATTATACTTGTGAGACATGGAACAGAAGTAGTGGCATAGACAAAAATTCAGACACTTAAGAATGATATCAGATCTTCTGTGTTGTTAATTACTATATAAATACATACCAGGATGTATCTCCTTCATTTCAGATGTCTCCACTACATTAGTATTATAAACTTAGTGTTCATGTCAATACTTTCATATTAACTACAAAATTATTTCTTTTTAAATCTAGAGGCCATCTCAGGAATTATCTCTGACTTTAAATGGTGTAAGGGGAAAACAATGTCAGGAGACATCTTTCTAAAACATTTTATTTTATAATGTATAAATCTGTAATCTTTAAAATATGTAGAGAGACTTCTTTAGACAAAGAATATTAATCTATATTTCTGTCCCCCAAACTACATTTTTTTTAAAAGATTTTATTTATTTGAGAGAGAGAGAATGAGATCGAGAGAGCATGAGAGGTTAAGGGTCAGAGGGAGAAGCAGACTCCCCGCCAAGCAGGGAGCCCGATGCGGGACTCGATCCCGGGACTCCAGGATCATGACCTGAGCCGAAGGCAGTCGCTTAACCAACTGAGGCACCCAGGCGCCCTTCCCCCAAACTGCATTCTTTATATAGACTATTTACTATTGTTAAACTAAAATCAAAAATAGTCTTTGGGATGTCTAAGATAACATAAAAATTCAATATTTATAAAGCCTCTATACTAGACTGTGTTAAATGTTTCAACATTGCTTTAGAGAGATGTTTGGAGTCTTTTAAGAGTCTTTACCATGATATGCACCTGCAGGTTGGTATCTAGTCTCAATTACTCTGTATACTCAGGGCAAGAAGTGCTTTCAATTCATAGAAAAATCCATGTTATAATTAACTCTAAGAACCATAAAATCTGTAACCAGCATCTCAAAACTGGTTTGGCGGATTGAAGGTAATATTCTTTAACCTTTGCCTTAGGCTACTGTATTTTTTAATGCTGTAATTTGTTAGACATACTACCAAAGCTTTGATTTGGGAATTTTTTTCATCTATTTAATCTTGGTTTAGGGAGTTGAATCATCAATTTAATCTTTTTACTTTATTCTGAATTTAGTGCTTACTGAAGGTAAAGCCTCAGTGAGAGGTGTTCAGTGGGTCACTCTTCTCAACTTATTGACATTTGTTTTCTCAACCTATTTCTGGTATACCAAATTGAAATAATTGTTTTGGATGCTATGTACAAATTGGTAAGCTCAATCTGTTTCAACATTTAATAAGTCTTTTCATTTAAAACTTCATCAACATGTTAAATAAGGATTCCATGTGAAAATATGTAAACTTCCTTGATAAATCATGCCTTAAATTTTGGATCTGCTCTATAAAATTACATAGCTACATTAAAATAGAAATCTTTTCATTGGATCATTTAACTATCTAGTAACTATGTGTAAGCTAAGCACTGAGAAGCTGCAAATATATGTCATAGTTTAATTAACATAACCTATTAGTGATTTTACACATACATGTACACATTTAAAGATCTTAGTGGTCAGTGGTGGAATGAGAGAAAAACTAACTAATATCTGTTACCTAGAACTATCCTAATTCCTTTCTTATTGGTCTTGTTATAATAGTGACTCAGTGAGATTTTTAAATGTTTATATAAATTCAACCATATTATTCAGCATTGAGGACTAGACTACATGCTGGTTACTTTTTAGCACAAAGCTGACTTCATCAATTTTAAATACATTAACTAACTCATAGAATTCTGAATCCTTGCTCACCAAGCAACTTCTAATGGTCACTTGCCATGGGTAACCTTGTGAATGCAAGTGGCCCTTAAGACTTAATTTCTGGGGCGCCTGGGTGGCTCAGATGGTTAAGCATCTGCCTTCGGTTCAGGTCATGATCTCAGGGTCCTGGGATCGAGTCCCGCATCGGGCTCCCTGCTCCTTGGGAGCCTGTTTCTCCCTCTGCCTTTCTCTCTTGCTCTGTCTCTCATGAATAAAAAAAATAAATAAATAATAATAATCTTTAAAAAAAAGACTTAATTTCTGACTGTACATACATGCTCAGCTGAGCCTTTTTTCATAAATACCTGGACATATGAACACATACTGCATATACAGTATATGTTTATTGCACAAATGCCAACTGAGAAGCGCTTTGCCAGATGTTAGAAATAAAATAAACTCACAAGAGTAAAAAAAAATGACTATGTGCCAAGCTATAATTAATTAATTTGCTGACTGGTCTTTGCTGTTAGCATCTTCAACAGGGGATGCATTCGCCAGTGATTAATTATCCCTCTATTTGAATTACTTTGAATGGATAATGTTGAGTATGCTCTGGGCTCAGTGGAATCTTACCAAAAAACACAGCTGCTCTCTAAAGGCTCAAGGGAGACAACGGAAACTAAAAAATCAATATGTCACCAGCAGGGTTGTTGTCATAGATGCTTAGCACAGCAGGTTTATATAAACTAATGGCTCACTAGGACCGCAGAGGCAGAATCATTGAGGCAGCAAGGCACGCAGATACGTAAATGTGGGATTTTGGGCGGTGTTGCGGGGGCGGTGTGGCTGAGGTTATAGGTGCCTATGCTGGGATGTAGTACTGAAAACAGATTTCAAACTTAACAAATTTATGTGGGTATAACAATTACTTTGAAGTGACTCATGTATTTAAAACTCATTATCAAAAAGCTGTTACATTTTTTACTTTATTGGAATTTATATGAATTCATCAATGGACAGGTTTTTGTTTTTTTTTTTTTTGAAGAAGGCAAAAATTATTCTTTACACAACGACCTAGGGATTAAAGAGAGAAAAATGAGAAGAGCTATGTTCCTAATGTCTGAAACCATAAAAAGAAACTATATTTACATTTCAGACATTGGGTAGTATTCTGCTTAAGAACTAAACTATAGGGGAAAATTCCAAGTTGCAAAATATTCAACAAGTTAAAAAATTTAAACATAAAGAAACATCTTCCTTCTCTCATTCTAAAGAGAAATGTTGTCACAAAACTGTAATCTTGTGAAAGTTTGCAACAGAAATGACTTCATAAGAAGAATGACTTCAACTCAACAGTAAAACATTTTACTTGTATCTGTGGGAACCAAAGATTTCCTTAGAATCCTTTTTTTTTTTTTTTAATTTTAAAGGACATGTAATCTATTTTTTTGTAATTCATACACTAGCCTTAATGTTTATTATTCTTCAGGTCTTTACACAGTTTTCCTCAACAGTCAACATATTATTACAACCTGGCTTGTGATGTGTCATCACAATCTTGTGACCTTTAGGCAGAAATTTATGATGTACATCAAAGCAGTAATAAACACATGAAGAAATTCTACAAAGAAACAGTCACTTCAGTATTTCTGCTGAACATGTGGCAGCAGCTTCTATCTCAGTCGCCTTGCACCAGCTTCCACGAACAACAGTGCCGCAGTTTGAGAGTGCACGGCTTCTGTTCTCGGCGTCCACGTTTACTGCAAGTTGGAAGTTTCCCTCTGCCTGGTCCTTCTGTTTACACTGCTGGAAGGTATTTGCTGCTCGTCTTCACTCTGGAATTGCCCATACAGCAGTCTGTGGAACATGGGTTTCGTTCATTTCTTTGCCAAATTGGAACATAGTGGTATTTTTAAGATCAGATAGTCTCACAGCCTATCCCATGTTTAAAAAGTTAGTTAAGGGGGCCTCAAACTTTTGTAGCAATTAGATAGAGGCTAGTTAGGTGGTTAAAAGTCTTCTATGATGGAGTCAAAAAACTTTACCTTGATTCTTTCCTTAATAGCCTTTTGATCTTGGACCAATCTCCACTTTCTACTTGTAAAATGTAGAAATTCAAAGGGATCCTTCTATCTAAAATATTTTCTTAATATTTTCAGAGAAATGGGTTTATTCATATATGAAACTTTACTGAGATATGTTCATATATAAAATCAGGGATACATTTCTTTTGCCTAGAACTTTTTTATGACTGTAAAGTCAAGGAAACTTACTAATAGATTAATTAAGAAGTATTAAAATTCAGTTGAAGAGGGCAGTTTAACATAGCAGATGTTGTTTTTTTACTGAAATGGAATTTCTGCTCACAAAGTGGCCATGATACTGACTTTAACCCAGACTAGGGTACAACCTCTTGCATTTACCACAGTGCCTCACACTTAGTGTGGATTCTGGAAACATTTCTTGTAGGAAATCATGACTACCAAGTGAAAATGAAAGATGAGTGATGATTCTTGCAAATTATGGTTAATTGATGGTATGAATTCATTTGTAATGACATCTTTGGTCTTTTCCTCATGATTTAAGGGTATGCTTTAATACTATGAAGGACCACAGAGAAGTGAATCACTGTAAAGCTGCTTCTGAAGCATATCTTAGGGCAAATTGTAAGCCTTTATTTGTGTCCGGGGGTGGGGGTGGTGGGGAGAACAGCAAGAAGCATGCATGAGTCATAGGACAAAAAGACAAAATGTCACTCCAAGGAGAGGGTGAGAGACCTTATGTCTGAGTGTGCAAAGACTACTAGAGAAATGAACAGCCTGTTCTCAAAAGTTCATGTAATGAGAGTAAAACCCAATTTTTCCTTTAGAAGTTTATTCTACTGGATTATACAATTTTATTTGAAAGTCCAAATGAGCTGCCTCTGATTCAGTTTGAAACTATCCCAGATCAGGCAGAGTCCAGACACAGACCTGCCTGGGCCTAGTTCTGCTCTTTGTGATTTGGAACAAGAGGGCCTTAGTGCTAAGGTGTGTGCTTCTGCCCTCTGAGATTTGGAACCAAATCTAAATTCTGTGTATGCTGTAATGTGCTTAGGCAGACTCAACCTGTCTTTTAATTTTGGAAAAAGGCTGTTGATTTGTTAGATTTAACATTTCCTAATTTGTACATTTTGTATTGATTGCTAACTATGAAAAGCATTACATATAGGGAGGGCTGTGGCATATCAGCAAACATTTGAGAGAAAATATATAGAGTATTATAATAGTAAAATGTGAAAGAAGTCATTTAAACTAACTTACCTGATGGAAGAGAACTTCTAGTTTTCTCAGAGTCTGATATGGAATGTCACGCCGTGGGATCCTCATTCTTTTAATCTATTCCTTCTGCTTTATACATGAGTTTAGGTGAATGCCACTTTCTAATAGGAGCCTCCTCTTCAGGACCTTTTCTTTTTTTAAATTTTCATATGTGCATATCCATTTTTTTATGTGGAAACTCTCCAAATGAAACATTTATGTATAAAAATTTTCCAGATAACTCTGAGACTTCTATTGGATGTCCTTACTGTATTACAGGACTTATACACACAAAAAAGGAACAAAGAATATATCCAATTAAAACAAGGAAAGAACTCTTGAACTCAGCCATGCATACAAGAAAAATAAATTGTTTGAAGTGAGACATGAGGTAATCGTGGCTCCTCAAGGGGGAAGCCAATACTAATCTGGCTTCTAATGTGCCTGTTGGAGATGAAATGTTTCATTGACATTAGTACCTAACAAGTCACCAAATGTTCAGTGAATGCCCTTCTATGAGTCAGGAGCTCTACTAGTGGCTTGTTTTTTATATGATTTCATTCTAGCCAATATGTAAATTATATGAGGCATAGTTGACATGTAAAATATCAGGAAAAAATGCATTTTCTAAAAATTCCAGAGTGTACTTTGAGGTTTCACTCAATGCTCTACAGTGATTCAAAGCTCTTGCAACAATCCAGCCTCTGAGAAACTAAGACTGCCAGAAGGTGTATTGCATTTCAGGCCAATAACGTACCTCCCAGGAAATAAGGACTGTGTTCATAGATAGGATTAACACATCTCATTTTACAAATCGAGGTTATTTGAGTCTTGTAGGGGGACATTTTAGTGGTCTAATCCATACAGTATTGAATCATAGCATTTGGGGAACTAGGTGTAGTAATCTATACTGTCAGTTATAATGACTAAAGTCCACTGTGATTGAGGTTCCTTTTCATATGATAATTGTAAATTTTGAACTGCATACATGACACTTAAAAGAACCCAGGCCCTTCTTGTGTGCCTACATGTTTCTATATGCTACTCTTTTTCCTCTTACTGATATATTTATGTCTTACTTAAATATAGTGCATTCCAAAATATTTATTATTAGATTAAATCAACAGAATCACATGGGTACTTTATTTCATGATTTTTCCCTCATAAATGATATTTGCATCCCTATATGGATGAATTTCCTCAGCCTTTTATGATTTTCAGCAAGCCTTCTTTGTCACTACAAACTTTATTGGTTTGACATTTTCCCCTCACACTGTCATCATGTTAGTGCGCTGGCTGATTAGAGGTTTTCAGCCTTAGTCATTGGTTATCTGAACAAGGAACAGTATGAATCTAATTCCCTAACCTTATTTCAACTCATTGCTGCTGGTGCTGTGAAGCCAATTGTAAATGCAGATAATAGTTTCCATGATTACTAAGATAAACACCACATGTTGGAGAGGTTTGATTTTTCCATACTACAAAAGATAAGCTCTGGGAAGAATGTAGCAATTGTAGCATTCAGTTTCCTAATCAATTACATATGCAAAACTCTTTCAGTGGTGCCAAAACTTGTCTATTATTTCTTATAAGCACTGTATAAAACTCAGAGTGTGCTTAGAGGAAGTATCAGCCTACTTTCTTAGAAGCTGGTGTTGTTATGTTTGTGGTAAAAAAAAAAAAAAAAAAAGGCTTCATCGTAAACCACAGCATAAAGCATATCTTACAGGTTGTTTCTGAATATAAAAAATGATACAAAAGTAGCTAAGAAACTATAGATAGAGCAATAGTTAAGTTTCCTTTGGAAGAAAAATCATGTTAGTCTTGTTGACTTCTTGGGTAAAATAATTGATAAACTTGAGTGAGTGAGTGTGTGTGTCTCCTTCCCCAGGAGACAAGAATAACACTCAGGAATGAAATTTTTGGTAGAAGATCATTCTTTTTTTTTTTTTTTTTTAAGATTTTATTTATTTATTTGACACACAGAGAGAGCGAAAGATAGTGAGAAAGAAAGCACAAGCAGGAGGAGCGGAGGCAGAGGGAGAAGCAGACTCCCCGCCAAGCAAGGAGCCCGATGTGGGACTTGATCCCAGGACCCTGGGATCATGACCTGAGCCCAAGGCAGACATTTAACTGACTGAGCCACCCAGGCACCCCTAGAAGATCATTCTTTATCAGAAACACCATTGTAGATCCTAGCAATCAAATTAACTTTAGCTATTTGTCATCAAAGTTATAATTCCATAACAATGATTATTATTGAATATTTACAATGCAAGAGACTCCCCTAAAGGACAAGCTGATTTATTTCTTGTTGTAGTATGATCTACTTTTGGATAAGGGCATTATTTATAAGTGCAGGTAAGAGTGAACATTTCAATTGCATTTCTCCCCCAAATACACTAAAGGACACAGATCTTTGGGAAGATTTCCGTAAATTATGTAACATGTATTTCTAAGATAAGCAGCCAGTATGATTTTTAAACATAATAAATCACAATGTCATTCAAATTCATTTATTCATGGAACAAATAGTTATTAGTGCTTATTATGTGCCAGATACTATTCTAAGTGCTCAGAATATCATTGAAAAGCACAAATGCCCCAACCATAGTGGACCTTATATCCTTGTGGAAGGAGACATAAAAAAAAAACAACCACTAAATATGACAAATAATCAGTGTCTTAGACTGTGATAAGTATTATGGAAAAGAAGACATAGAGTAGGATAATGGTGTTCTACAGGGCTGAAGGCAGGGCAGACTGTGGTATTATGTGACAACCAGCGTAGGCCTTCTTGAGCCTGAGTCTGAGCAGAGATTTGAAGGAGATGAGCGATAATCAAGGGGATATCTATGGGAAGAGCATTCCAGATGGAGCAAAGAACCAAAGCAAAGGGCCAAAGCTGTGAGGGAGCATTCCTGGCATATTCCAGAAAGAAGGACAGTGTGGCTGAAGCAGAGTGAGTGAGAGAGCAGCAGGGGATAAAGTCAAAATGGTATTGGTCTGAACGCAGGGTTGGTGCAGATCTTAGCACAGTACCATGATGAGCCTACTATAAAGAGAAGAATGGGATGTTCTGTAAATTGGATAGAGAAGCCTTATTGACTTTTGACTCAAGGTCATCCTGGATTCGGTTTGGCTATGTGTCCAAACTCATTTTATATAGCAGTTAACCTCTTTGTGGTTTGTCTCCTTTATTCTTATTCCACATTTGTGTTTTACATTATGGCTTTAGCTCAAAAAAAGAAAAAGTAAAAGAAAACTATATATACAAAGAGAAGAGTTCATAGCATAAGCCAAGGTATGGAGTAGCTAAAATTCCATGCATAATTTAATGAATGGCCTGGAAAGTGTTTTCACAAAGTGTTACATGTGTTTGGATTTTTTGCTTCTTTGCCTCCCCTTTCTTGAGCAGCATCTTGAGAGCACAATCAGGTGCCTGCAATCTTACTGCCTCCACATCTCTCTCTGCCTCTGGCCCTCCTGACTGAAAAGAACCAAGTGTCCCTCTTTCTGATTCCCTGTGCTCTGGAATTCCATGTACTTTGTCTGTGAAGGGACTGGAAGTGTTCCATCACTTACTGTCCCTGTCCTGTATCTCCAACAAGTCCTGCTTAAATGACCATTTCCATTAATGCATTCTGCTCAGAGGTCTCTCATCATTAAAAAAATCGCTTTCTAAGTCCAGTTTGTTTGTTTGTTTGCTTTTGTTTTTGCACTATTTATCTGCTTCTCTTGTTCAGTACCAGGTTCTTTGGATGCATTTCTGTACTTGCTGTTTGCATGTTGTCCCTTCCCTGTTAGGCTCTGAAGTTGGGATTCTTCCCCATAACTTCACTGAAGGGTCACCAGTCTCTATTGCTACTTTAGGCTACTTTTCACTTATCTGATTTGATCTCTTTATAACATTTGACACTTTGGGCTACTTTTCTCCTTGAAAATATTCTTTAATGACACTATTCTTTCAAGTCATTTCCCACCTCCATGGTAATTTCTTTCTAATCATTTCAAATCCTTCCTTTTGTGCCTACTCTATAAACATCAGTGTCCCTGAGGTCACACTCCATACTCTAGGCAATCTCATTCCCTGGCAAGGCTTCCTCTCACCATCTTCATGCTACAATCCTTTCCAGATATATCTCCAGTTGAGGTTTCCCTTGAACCCAAGGCTCTTATAGACAACTGTATACCAGACACTTACGTGAACATCCACATCCAATAGGTGCTCTGCAACTCAAGACGTCTAACTCTGAACACCGATTCCTCCCCCCAAATTCCTTTCTCTTCCTTCTGTACCTAGTAAATGACAACCTATATATCCCAGGGCCCGAGCTAGGAACCTGAGTACCATTTTTATTATTATTGTTATAATTATTATTATTATTATTATTATTATCATCATCATCATTATTAGAGCAGTTTTAGGTTTACAGCAAAATTGAGAGTAAGGTACAGATTTCCCCATAAACCTTCTACTCTGACACATACACAGCCTCCATTATCAATCTCCCCCACCAGAGTGGTACATTTGTACAATTGACAACCCTACATTGGCACATCATAATCACCCAAACTCCGTAGTTTATGTCAAGGTTCACTCTTGATATTGTACATTCTAAGAGTTCATACAAATATATAATGACATGTACCCGTTACCATAGTGTCATATGGAAAATTTGCCGTCATGGGCACCATTGTTGATTCATTTTTCACTCCCTGCATTCCTCCCATATAATCAATTACCTTGTCCTTTATAGCTTACAGCATAAAATTCCCTAAATTACTTCAGTGTTTCAATGTCAATTTTTGTGAAATTATATTCATTTTTATTCTATAGAACTTGAAGGAAATATAATAAATTCCATTGTGAAAATAAAATTCACATTAATGGAAGAGGCTGTAATCATAAAAGGTAATTAAATTTGAATGAAGTTATAAATTTTAAACTTGTCATTACAGAACTCTAACCAAAAGTGTGATTTAGGTTGAAAGAAATAATTTCACCCTGAGTGGGAATTTAGTACATAGGATCCATTGAGAGGAATTTTGCCTTCTTTCAGTCATATTGCTTCTAACTATACTACATCAAATCTCACACATCATAAATTATCTCTTACATTTTGCAAAGTTTGCAGAAAAGTTAATTTGGGAAAATCTTTTTAAAGTACAAAATACTCCATTATAATCAATTATCAATACAGAACAAAAGACTAGATAGGAAAATACATACTTAAATTATATATTTACTAAAACTTTTTAAGAAAAGAGGAAATTGGGGGCGCCTGGGTGGCTCAGTTGATTAAGCGACTGCCTTCGGCTCAGGTCATGATCCTGGAGTCCCGGGATCGAGTCCCGCATCGGGCTCCCTGCTCGGCGGGGAGTCTGCTTCTCCCTCTGACCCTCCCCCCTCTCATGCTCTCTGTCTCATTCTCTCTCAAATAAATAAAAATAAAATCTTTAAAAAAAAAAAAAAGAAAAGAGGAAATTGTTGGTGTGAATATAATTTCTTTATTTCCATCCATCAACTAGTAAGTATATTTAAGGAAAAATGTAGTTAAAATACTTTTTGAGGGGCGCCTGGGTGGCTCAGTTGGTTAAGCGACTGCCTTCGGCTCAGGTCATGATCCTGGAGTCCCGGGATCGAGTCCCACATCGGGCTCCCTGCTCGGCGGGGAGTCTGCTTCTCCCTCTGACCCTCCTCCCTCTCATGCTCTCTGTCTCTCATTGTCTCTCTCGCAAATAAATAAAATCTTAAAAAAAATAAATAAATAAATAAAATAAAATACTTTTTGAAGTATCAGTGGCTGTTATCACCAAATGGCATGAAAACATTGAGACAAGATTAGGTGATGGAGTATATGATCATTAAAATCACACTTTAGATTGATATTTACAGGGATTTAAAAAATAATCCTTCAGTATGGAAGAGAGTGTTCTGTTGAAGTTAAAGAACTTCAGCCTACAAAGAGCTTGGCAGTTGGAGGAGCATGAGGCAAAACATTCCAAATTTGAAGACTTCAGTAGGGCATGACTAACAAATATCATATCTTGGAATACATAATAAATTAGGATACTTGTTAAAAATATATGGTAACCGCTGTAAAGAAAGTTTGTAGTGTAATTAAGAGGGGGACCTATGCATGTTTCTTGTGATATGTGCTCCAACAAATTTTGTAACTATGTATTTTCAATGTATACTCACAGCCTTGCTATGATCTTTTGCCAAAACAACTCTAATTGCTTCAGACTTTACAAGGTTGGCTCAGAAGCAAACTGTAGCATGTCAGAAAAGTGATCTTCATCACTTATAGCTAGCTAGTGGCCATCTAACGTGACAGATGGCGCCCTGCCCGTCCTCGGCAGCTTGTGGGACAAAGCTGAATGTCAACACCACTGGGATGTAATTATTGCAATCTCTTGGGTCTAGTTTGGTGTGACCCTGAAGGCAGTTCCCCGGGAACTGCTGGGAGCAATGCAATGATGGAAAGAGCAAAGAAATGAGAGCTTTTGGAGACCAGCCGCATTTTTGTTTTACTGACAAGTGCTTTCACACTGCTTTATGAATAAGCATTTTGCATGTGATAAATCACATTGACAAAGAAATTTAAAAATTTGTGGGACTTTCAGTGTGGCCTCTTTTAAATATTATCAAATGGCTTTCATTTATGTTGCAGGAAGGGGCTTGTTAATTATCAAAATGATTTTTAAAAATATTTTTAACGATTTAAAAGCAGTATCATTTTCACGTAGTTGTTTGCTAAATAATTTAATAATTCTCTCTTATATTTTGGGACATAAATCATACATTACCACCAAAACTCACTTAATCTGAAACAACCCTATACAGGTTAGATATTATTATTAGCCCCAATTTATAGATGGGGTGAATGAGGCACAAAGAGGTTAGTTATGATAGAAAACAAGCGGTAGATCCAGGACGCCAGCCAAGTCATCTGGTTCCAGAGTCGCTGTTCTTAATCATTTAACTTCTTCTATGCAGCCTTCTATATTTCTTTACAATACTCAACCCACCCGTGTAGGGTGGTAGCAGCTATAAAGATTATGGAGCTTGATACTGGAAACAGATATTGTGAGAAAATCTGAAGTTCCAAAGTTAGTAAAAAAATAAATCATTAAAGAAATTATTAATGTATAAATTGACTAATCATAAATTTCTCCCCAGAAAGGTGTCTTTTAAATAATGTATATTATATATATAGTAATATATAGTAACATATATTAAGCAATTAGGTAATATATATAATGCATGATATATAAAGTATATTATAATAATATATATATTCCGTGGGTGCTGAAAATTTTTTAGTAAAAAATTGATATTGTGAAAGTATTCTTCCATATGCCATTTAGTGAGGAGGACTTTGTAAAAATGTCAAAATTTTTTTCTGATTTATGAATAGCACCGACATTTCTCTTACATACAAGAACAAGCATCTGGAAGCTATGCTGCTAATGATAGTTAATAAGAACTGAACATGGTGTATGTATTATCTCATTTAATCTTCATAACAGCCCATGGACGAGGTGCTATTTATTATAACTACATTTTACAGATGAGGAGACTAAAAGAGAAGTTCAATAACTTGCCCATGGTCTTTTAAATAATACATAGAACAAGGGAGTACCTGTGGTATAAAAGCAGTTGCTTATAATGTACATGTAATTCTGGTCATTTCTCAAAGTTCTGCCTATCCTGATCAGTCAACCACTGAACAAGAGATCATGGGAGCCTAGACAGCATGAGGAAAGCACCTCAGGAATTGTAAATGCTGTAAACACCACGGCTAGTTGTTGTGATTTTTCTCGGGGTTGATAGGAGCAGTCAGTTCTAGGTAGTAGGAAAAGTGGAGAGGTAAGTTCAGGTCCTCAAGGAATTTACAGTCTAATTGATAAGAATGTTCTGATTGTGAAGAGGTCTAAAACCATGGATTATAATGTCTTAGGGTAAACAAGGGTACTATAAGAGCCTCAGGAGGTGATTGTGTTATGGGAATAACTCCCACCCACATCTCCACTCTGAGGAGGGGGCCTTGAGGTGGATCTTGGAGGAAGAAAAGGTAAGGTGAGGTGTGAGTTGGGGGAAGGACATTCTTGTTGGGAAAGGCAGGAGAAAAGACAAAGTTTGTGATGCACTTGAGGGCTAGAGGAGGTGCAGTTGGTGAACATTTCAGCAGGAGCTTCCACTCTTGCCCCCTACAATCTGTTTTCCAGAGAACAACTGGTTATCTTTTAAAAACATAAATGAGAGCATTTAACGTACCATAATTCAGGGATTTTCCATCCCACTTGGAAGTAAAAGCCAAATGCTACAAAGCCAGTGAGTCCTTTGTTAGAGGCCTTACGCATACCACGTGCCTGTGGCATGTGGAAGATAACTTTAATAAGTGAAACAGGCCTAGATGAATGGAAGCAGAGAGGGCTTCACTTTTGAGAGGGCAATAAGGAGTGGTGGGGACTGTGGCTCCCTCTCATGCAGTAGAGTGCTGCCCCACATGGAAATAGCCCTGCTATTGCCTGGTGCTCTGGTCTATTTAAAGAACCCAGAAATACAAATTTTTATATGAAATTCCCATTTAAAAATATTTGTCTCAATAAGAATAGTAAAAAAGGGCGCCTGGGTGGCTCAGTTGGTTAAGCGACTGCCTTCGGCTCAGGTCGTGATCCTGGAGTCCCGGGATCGAGTCCCACATCAGGCTCCCTGCTCAGCAGGGACTCTGCTTCTCCCTCTGACCCTCCTCCCTCTCATGCTCTCTGTCTCTCATTCTCTCTCTCTCGCAAATAAATAAAAAAATCTTAAAAAAAGAATAAAAAAAAAAAGGCACCGTACAGACAGAATACATCTGTAAGACAGATGTCCAGATCAGAACCACAAGCCACTAGTTTATGACCTCTGCCCTGTTCAGTCTGGCTGTGCCTTGCTCTGCAACCACAGTTCATAGCACCCTTTCCCCTGCTCACCACATTCTCACCGCAGTGACCTCCTTTCAGGTTCTCAAATTTTTTTTTTTAGTTCTTCCCTACTCTGGGTTGTTTGTGTGTTTGGTTTTCTATATGCCTACGGTTGTTTCGGGCCCTTCTCATTCTTCAAACCTCGACTCAGCTTTCACTTCCTCAGAGTGGTATTTCCTGACCCCTATCTAAAATTCCTACCCCACTCCTTGACTTTTGTTTCTTTCCCTTATACCAGTGGTTCTCAAAGTGTGGTCAAGGGACCCCTGAAGGCCCTAAGATCCATCAGGGGGGTCCACAAGGTCAAAATTAGTTTTATTAGAGAATAAGATGTAGCTTTCTTTTTTTTCATTCATTATTTCATGACTATAGTGAAGTGTTCTAGAAATTATATGACATGTGGTATTGCAGACTGAATTCAGAAGATATGAATATTCAGGTCTCTTCTATTAAGCCAGATACTAGAAAGATCTAAAAAAAAAAAAAATGTAAAACATTGCCACTCTAATTTTTTGCTTTGAAAATATAGGTATTTTCATAAAATCACATCATTTATGTTTTTATGGTTATTTTTAATATGTTAATGCATATTTAAACTTTTCCTCCATTTTAACTTCTATTGTAACAATCACTAAACATAAGACCAAAACAGGTTCTTTGAGGTACATAATCCTTTGTAAGTGTGCAAAGGGGTCTTGAGACCCAAAATTTTGAGAGTTGCTTTTCAGATAGGCGTCAAACACTGAAATCACCTCTTATTTACTTGTTTCTTTTACTAAAATAAAAGCACTGTGTGATGGGGCACCTGGGTGGCTCAGTTGGTTAAGCAACTGCCTTCGGCTCAGGTCATGATCCCAGGGTCCTGGGATCGAGCCCCGCATCGGGCTCCCTGCTTGGCGGGAAGCCTGCTTCTCCCTTTCCCACTCCCCCTGCTTGTGTTCCCTCTCTCACTGTCTCTCTCTCTCTCAAATAAATAAATAAAATCTTTAAAAAAAAAAAAACAAAGGGCGCCTGGGTGGCTCAGTTGGTTAAGCGACTGCCTTCGGCTCAGGTCATGATCCTGGAGTCCTGGATCGAGTCCTGCATCGGGCTCCCTGCTTGGCAGGGAGTCTGCTTCTCCCTCTGACCCTCCCCCCTCTCATGTGCTCTCTCTCATTCTCTCTCTCTCAAATAAATAAATAAAAAACAACAACAACAAAAAAAACAAACAACACTGTGTGGGCAGAGACTTTGTCATATTCACCACTTTAACATCCTTCAGCACCTGGAATGGTACCTGAAGCATTACAGACACTTAGTCAACATGAGAACAGGTGAATTAATATATGAAGAAGAGGGGTTTGAAGGAGAGTTACTCTTAGGATAGGTCTGAGCCAGCTCTGTAGGAAGCTTTGCGTACAAGGCAGCATTGTAAAACTGATCATGCCGCTAATGCAGAAAAAATTAAGCTTTCCAAATGGGAAAGTAACAGGATAAAAGTTGGGTACTGGAAAAATGATCCTATAGTGACAGTTAAATTTGTCTTCCTTTTCCCATCCATCTTTACCAACTCTTCCACTGACTCCCCCCTTGGCTTTTTGGGGGGGCGGAAGTTTGTGAAACCTTTGTATGTGTCTTACAGCTATAAATACATTTGTGCTAATGAATGAGGTCACATCAATTTAAATGGAACATGGACAGAGAACACAATTTAGTTCGTTAGTAAGGCATGACAAATTTACAGCCAGAAACTCATGTTGACTTTTATAGAGCAACATAAATTAAAGGTGGCCAGTATTAAAGTCTGAACTCACTCAGGCAAAAATACACATATCCCTCCAAGGCAAGCAGCTAATATAAAGCAAGGAGGTGTGGTATCTGTGGTGTGATCTGAAGGGCCCTAGGGGAGGTCTTTCTCTCTCCCACCCAGGGGCATGAGTGTCTAAACTCTACCATTAAAGAGACATTCTTTAAAGTGTCTCTTTCTGCTGTGCTCTTTTAAAATACAAATCCCAAAGAGAACATTAAGAATTGGGGCTCGGGTACCAAACTCCTGTATTTAATTCTGACTTCATGTTATATTAGCTACACGAGAAGTTGAACATCTCTTTGCTTCAGTTTCTGTGTTTGTAAAATAGAGATTTCTAGAGTGTCTTTGTGAGAATTAAATAACACACGTAAAAATAATTAAAATAGCCCCTGACCCACGGCGCGTCCTTTGGCAGCTTTAGTGTTTATTGTTTCGGCATAGTGGGTAGCAGAGCAGGCTGGGTGTCAAGGAGGTCTAGCTTTACAGCTACATGGCCAAGAAACTCTTAAGTCAGTTATCATGTTGAAACTTCGGTTTCCCAATCTAAAAATAAAAGCCTTGCTTTAGTTCAATTAAAAGGGAGAGAATCTATTTAACAAATGCATGTGCTGAGGGAAAGGAATAAATCATGACTTCTAAAAAATTAATAAGATCTTTAGTCTTTTTTTTTTTTTCCTAAGATTTATTTATTCATTGGAGAGAGCGAGAATGAGAGAGAGTATATGAGATGGGGGAGGGTCAGAGGGAGAAGCAGGCTCCTCGCCGAGCAGGGAGCCCGATGCGGGACTCGATCCCGGGACTCCAGGATCATGACTTGAGCCGAAGGCAGTTGCTTAACCAACGGAGCCACCCAGGCGCCCAGTCTCAGTCAGTTTCCAGTTGAATGGGAAAAGAAAATATAATATAAACTCTGCAGAGAGCTTTAATGGAAGCATCTCCAGAGGTGCTATGGAATAATGGAAGAGGAAGATGACAGTTTTGATTAGTGGCATCAAACAAGACATGGAAGGGAAAGGAGCTTTCTGGGTGGACTTTGGGCACATTAGAATGGCGTTGTCATGCTACTCAGGTGGGGCAAGGTAATTCCCAGTGGGAAAAGAAGGCACTGATCGAGCCTGTTTCCATACTGAGGAGTGCACAGTGCTTCATACCCGATAAGAGACGGTGCAGTAATAACGTAGTCTGGGAGAAGCAGCTCAGAAACAGCATGGAGAACACAGAACTCTCCAAGTTACAAGCTGGGCTTTGGCTCTGCAAGGAAGAGGGAAGAGGGAAATTTCTGAGCGTGGGAGTTTTTGATCATCTGTTCTCTCTTCTGTAAGAAAGTCATCTTTGGTGACAAGGTAAAGGAAGAAGTAGTGCAAAAAGAGAGTCAAGTTTGAGAAAGTAGCCAGAAAGGGAAGGAACCTCAAGTTGGAGTTACAGATGAGGAGATCTCAGGATTAGATCCCATAGGACACAAGCCCTTTCTGAGTTGAGGTGGGGGAGGGGAGCGCTAAGGGGTCAGGGATGATACTGAGGTCTGAATCCCAGAAACTGGAAAGAGGCTATTAAGTGAATAGTGCTTTACGGAAAAGGAAACACTGGTTTGGGGAAGAAACTAATACATCTAGCAATAAATTCTGTGACTTTTAAATACCAACAGGAGGAAGACATATTAATCAAAATATATCGTGGCTCCTCTGATTCACTTTCCTCCTGCCGTGGTGCCTGGCACGGAGAATATCAATAAATACAAATCCAATCCTGCTGGAAGGGCTCTGCTGTGGGATCTGGAAAGGCAAAGAAGAAGAATGTAGAAATGGGAATGAGAAATGGCTGTGCAGAAAAACATCACCTACTGCACATTTTTACTTCTGTGAGAGCTTTTATGTGGCTATAAATGTTAAAAGTTACACAGAAATTCGTGCTTTTAACATTTAAGAACTAATCTATAAACAAGTAGGTTTATACATCAAACGCTCTCTGTTGGTCTTGTAATGAGATGCTGATTTTCTTTGCTGCTAGAAAACATACTTTCATTAACATTTTGCTAGTTAATTACAGTTTATTATGAACATTAAATCATGTGATTACCGACAGCATTGCCAGATCTGTGTGTGAGAGGGGGAGGGTGGCATTCTAGTTCATTCATCTAAGTTACTAAAAATTGCACTCAGTTGTAACACCAGGATTTTATATGAAACCACTCAGACATCAGCTGTAGGTTCCTGCAATCTGCTTGCTGGGTGTGGAATTTCCCCAGATTATCCAGATTACAGTCACCTCGCTTCCCTCTAACCCAAATAACAGATTTTGACATCATCCTATAAATGTCATGAATAGTCTTTGCCTCCAGAAAAAGGAAAATATATGGTCATCAGCTGGTTACAAATACATGACTAATGAATACAGATATTAATACTCAGTGTTTTAAAATATAAGGGAGGGAGCTAGGAAGGGAAGGAGTATTTGCTGTTCCTGGTGCTGCCTCAAGTCTGTCATTTGTTTTGTTTGTCTTCACTGGAAGAGAGAAGTGCAGTGTTTTCTATTTCAGAAGTCCCAAATTGCTGCCTGCAGGCCAGATTGACCCACAGGCATGTATAGCTCAACCTACATACGCAGTGTGAAGAAAATGGAATAGTTGTCAACGTTTTTTTTTTTTTTTTAAGATTTTATTTATTTATTTGACAGAGAGAGACACAGCGAGAGAGGGAACACCAGCAGGGGGAGGGGGAGAAGGAGAAGCAGGCTCCCCGCAGAGCAGGGAGCCCGATGTGGGACTTGATCCCAGGACCCTGGGATCATGACCTGAGCCGAAGGCAGTCGCTTAACCGACTGAGCCACCCAGGCGCCCTTTTTTTTTTTTTTTTTAAAGAGTTGTCAACGTTTTTAAATTGCAAGATTTCATAATAAAAATTAAAATATCTGCTTCTCTTGCAAAACTGGAAAATCTGCCTGTACAGAGACCAGAGTAGCTGAGAAATAGCAACCCCCTTCAGACAGCGCCATGCACTTCTCACTTCCCACTGCTCTTATCATGTCTTCCTGTTATCCCAGCCCTGAGACCAAGGCTCAGTTCCTACTGACCATCCGTTTGTAACATCTCCTGGCCTGCTTCATTCATTTGCATTACATACTTAGTCTCTAGGGGATGGAGTGCTTCCCTCTCATGATGTCTTCTACAGGGAGAAGGTTAACTTGTTTGTCTGTGTGTGTGTGTGTGTGTGTTTATATATATATGTAATATAATATGTAAAGAAATGATAAATATACTCCTAACATCATAATGCTACTTTGCGCCCTCATTTTCCTCCTTGGTTTCAGCATCACCACATGACTCCTACCTGTACTAGCAAAATTCACAAAATTTCACAAAGCACCTGTGATGAGACAAGGGAAACATGGGGAGGTCAATTGATTCAACACGTAGACAAAAGTAAGAACAGGGCTAACTTCACAAAATCATTTTTATTAGTGATTTTCATATCGTTATACTTGGAAATATTGCCACTTTTATCAGGAGGTGGGTCCCAATATTTAAAAATTGCCTTATGTATACACCAACATAAATGTATCTTCTCTTTGTTTGACAAGAAATACTTTATTTATTTCAAAATATTTTCCAATAACCACTAATCAGAAGGTATTATTATGGATTCCCATAATGGTATGTTAAATTGGTAATTGGTTGTTTATTTCATGTATTAACAAATAAATGCTTTCCAAATAGGCATTCCTCCAATAGGCATTCCAACAGGACTCCTTCCCTGGAATTCTCTCACTTTTTTCTGCTTATCTAAAACTTGCTCATCTTTGTTGGTTCACAAGCTTCATTGTTTCCACAATTTCAGCCTCACATTGCTCTCTGCATTCTCTCTAAGCATATCTAGTTGGCAAATAGGTCAGCTTTTAAGCTATATAAGCATGAGAACTTACTTTTTTGCAAAATGTATATTCTTGCTCAATATTTCTACCATAGAAATCTTATGTTAGAAATGCAGTGTCTACAAGTGCAAATGAAGGTTCCATATATTTTCATGCTTCATATTTTGAGTATTTAAAATAAAATTACTACTGAGTTGTAAAAAGCTCTAAGAATGAGCTCCTTCAACACCAAGTTAATATTTGTTTCTTCAGAATGCACAGATAGTTTTCAGTAAAAACAAACACCTTCTCCAGCTGCCCCAGCACCTTGCAGGAGTGTTGATTATAATTATGCATAGGCATCATGGAATTTACTGATAAACCACACTTTAACCGGGTGACATGACTACTTCTTAAACAAACTGTGAAAAATAAGATGTAAAAATAATTGTTAGAAGATTTCATTCCAGATCTTTTTTTAAACCAAGAAACTTCTTTTTTTAATTAATTAATTTATTTATTAGAGAGAGAGAGAGTGAACGAGCACACAGAGGGAGAGAGGAAGAGGGAGAAGCAGACTCCCTGCTGAGCAGGGATCCTGATGTGGGGCTCAATCCCAGGACCCTGGGATCATGACCTGAGCCAAAGGCAGATGCTTAACCAACTGAGCCACCCCAGCACCCCCCAAGAAACTTCTTAAAGTGAGGTTTTCATTGTGCAAAAGAAACTTGTTTTAATTTTAATTTTGACCATAATATCATAGACAAAACACTAAACTCCTCAGAAGACAGTCTTTCTTTAATCTCGGGCCTGGATATCACCATCTAGTTATATAATCTTGACAAATTACTTAATTTGCTGAGAATCAGTTTCCTTATATGTGAATTGAATCTATGGTCTGCATCATAGAGTTTTATGCAAATTATTGAGGAAATATATCTGAAAACACTTTGGAATCTTTAACCTGTAATAATAATATGTAAATTATTTCATCCCAATTGTTAGGTAAATGTTATTAAAAAGATAATTAGTACTGGGGCGCCTGGGTGGCTCAGTCGTTAAGCGTCTGCCTTCGGCTCAGGTCGTGATCCCAGGGTCTTGGGATCAAGCCCCACGTCGGGCTCCCTGCTCAGCAGTAAGCCTGCTTCTCTCTCTCCCACTCCCCCTGCTTGTGTTCCTGCTCTCGCTCTCTCTCTCTCTGTCAAATAAATAAATAAAATCTTTAAAAAAAAAAAAAAGATAATTAGTACTTATTATGCAAAACACAAAATTAGGCAATCCAGGGGATAAAAAGAATAGCAAAATATAATACCTCCTCTTACTACATTTATAGTTGGGAAGTATAATGTGTGAAATTATCTCCTTACAGATCAGGTAAAGTAAAAGCAGTATAAACTAAGTGCTATGGACATTGAAAAGAGAGAGATCAGAAAAATCTGGATGTTTGATAGCATCCTTAAAGATAGAAAGATGAACTTCAGGGAAAGAATATTCCAGAGAACAAAGAGAACAAAGCCAAGACATGGAGATAGAATGATTGGAATATGTTTGTGGCATATTAAGTAGACCACCAGGACAGCATTCTGATATGTTTAGAGATGTCATGGAGGATATGGCCAGAGAGGTTAATTAAGTATTTTAGGGCCTAAGTGTATGTATATTTAGCATATATGGAAATGCGGTCTTTTAAAAAAATGTATCTGTGTGTCTCTGTCTCTTTTAGATATCATTTAATTTCACACATTAGTTTTCAGAGAGCTTATGTGACCTGTTTAAGATCACAAAGCTAATTAATAACAAATTTATAGAAACATGATGTAAGGAAGATTTATATTATCCCAGAGCATATGTAAATGCTACGAATGATTAAGATAGTAAAAAACATTTAAGAAATCATTTCAATATTCAGATGATGAAAAGAAACATTCAATATGTGATGTCAGGTAGTATCAAATCCTACAGAAAGGGTTCAGTAAGAGCTGGGGAAACATTAAGAGAAAATGAAAGATTTTGGGCGCCTGGGTGGCTCAGTTGGTTAAGTGCCTTCAGCTCAGGTCATGATCTCAGGGTCCTGAGATGGAGTCCCACATCAGACTCCCTGCTCAGCGGGGAGTCTGCTTCTCCCTCTCTCTCTATCTCTCTCAAATAAATAATCTGTTAAAAAAAGAGAGAAAGTGAAAGATGTTGATGGACAGCGTCTGGGAGAATCACAGCACCTTTAACAGCAGAAAGTAGACAAGGCTCGTTTGAAGGAAAGATAATGAGTTCCTATCAACATATGCTGAGTTGGGATTATATCAAAGATCAGGAAGAGATGTTTAATAGACATTTGGGAAAGTGACATTTTTGTAGCTCAGGAGAGAAGTAGAATCTAGAGTGATTGACTTAAGAACCATCTACATCTATGTGAATCTAAGGGAATAAAAATTATTTTATCTGATAATATTTTGGAGTCTCTAAAGTGTTCGTGGGTTTTTTGGTATGTCTTTATTATTATTTATTAATCTCCTACATTATATCCAGTCTTTCTTGATATTTTTCTCTAATCACTGTATGATTGAAGATTACCTTAGTAATGGCTTAATAACCCTGAAGCATTAAGTTAAACATTGAATAAAAACTCCATGGGGTGCCTGGGTGGCTCAGTTGGTTAAGCGACTGCCTTCGGCTCAGGTCATGATCCTGGAGTCCCGGGATCGAGTCCTGCATCGGGCTCCCTGCTCGGCAGGGAGTCTGCTTCTCCCTCTGACCCTCCCCCCTCTCATGTGCTCGCTCTCTCTCTCTCATCCTCTCTCTCAAATAAATAAATAAAATCTTAAAAAAAAAAAAAAACTCCATGAGGAGAGAGACATGGTGTTTAATTCAATATTATATTCTTGGAGCCTAATGATTGGCAAAAAATACACACTCAAGAATATTTTTGAAAGAATGAATGTAGCAATTTAATAATAGTTATATTTTTTCAACTTTGAAATCATTTTTTAAAGGCTTTAACCCATTTAAATTTATAGCTATTTAATTTGTATGAACAGAGCTAGATTCTGGCTTGATATATATTTGACTTGATAGATTGCCACAAATACTTCTTACAAAATTTGATGTAGCCATAAAATGAAGTAACTTATAAAGTTTGGGTATTTCATTGGATATTCAAAGTGGGCATGTAATATTGAAAACCAGTGCAAGTAAATATGTGACAAGTTTAACTGAAAATTACATTTATTACATTATTACAAATGATGACAGGATTATTTCTAATGTGTTTATAATAAATTTTCAGAACTAACTGATATGGAAGCAATGCCTTTTAGAAACACTTGTTTTTCTTTTTAAGGGTAGACTTTTCTATGGTTTAGGAATAATGGTTGGATGCATAGATTTAAAAATCAAAGTTTTGCTGAATATAGGAGAAAAACAACTTTTTAACGTGCCCTATATTTAAAATCTGTTCTGTAGTGTTGTCAGGAAAAAAAAAAAATGACAAAGTAATGTTCTTATTGGTATGTTCCTTTTTTGTGTGTGTTTGGTCAACTGGATAAAGATCTTTGTTAATTAGGTGAAAATCCATATTACTTCTTCCCGTGTGCCTTTGACTTAACGTCACATATAAAGCTATGTCAACATTGCTGACACTAAATAAACAAACTATAATTAAAGGAGAAATGCAAAAGTATGCTTCAAAGGTACCTATGGAAGAAAAAGCACTCACCAAGCAGTGGGTCTCCCCAAACAGAATTTTTTAAGCCCCACAGCATCTGTCTTCATGGTATTCTATGAAAAGAACCAAGCAGGCCACAAAGCTTTGTGTGAGTGGCCTCCTACTCACTGTTCATCCCCTTTGATCGATTACACTTGCTAGTTCTGTTTCTGCCATTGCTGAAAGAATAATGACTGTGGGCCCTTGACCTTTGCAGTTTTGGATCTCCAACCTGTACTCTGGTTTTCTGCCAATTAAACTTAGATCAGGCTCTCTGATTGAGCTTATTTGCATACTATCAAATGGAAACAGGAAACTGCCTCTGTAATAATCAGGGTGTTGGACAGAGCTCAGGCTATATACACAGGTTTTACCAGGCCAAGTCCGTTTTCTCTGCCATGTTGTAGCAGGGTTTTAAGGGCCACAGTTTGGACCTGTTGTAGGACCAGAGCCCCATGTTAGCAGAAATACAATGGTACTCCATTCTGAAAAGTAGCTATAATCAAGATGGTATAGAATCTTAGGAAAGCAATAGCAGTGCTCATGTATGCCCAAAATATTAATGAAGAAGCCAGAAAATGGTTGGCCATTGGGAAGATTCATAACCTTTTAAAAAAACATATTTCTGTGATTATAAACTTAAGCTGTTGGGCCATACTTATAGTTTACTTTATTTGGTAAAAACTATACAATAGTTCAGTTCCTCTAGGAAAGAGGATTGTTGCTGAATGGTAAGTGGGGTAAAAATACTGGCCTATATGCATGCACTGGCCATGCATTTAATCACAAGGATTATCACAGAAAAATTAAGACTTACTTGAATAAAAGCTAAGTGAGTATTATATAGCCTATATAAATACCTCTTCATTAAAATATTGTTTCCCAAGTTTATACATGAATTTATAGCCCAATAGATGAGACATTCTTGAGACCGATTATTTAAAACATAAATTGTGTTTGGCAGACTTACAAAGGAGCTCCTAAACCAAAGCATATGTGAAAGGTGTTGGAGATTTCTAAATTTCAGTTCGGCTCAGAAACATTTTCTGTGCCAGCCACTGAGCTGGAAACTGAGCTATCATCACCAAATAAGGCCTTGTGCATTGTCTCAGAGAGGAGCTTACCATCCAGTGAACCCAAGAGACACCCAAACAGAGGCTGTCAACATTCGGTGGCAATGGTTTCAGTTTCAAAAGTTGTGCCCCTGAACAATTGTTAACATAGAAAACACACACTCCAAAAATCATGTCAGCTGTATATTTGATATAAATTTCCCTTTTGGTTGTTTTCAACCAAATGGAATTCAGTTCACATGTTCCTATAGCCATGATCAAGAGGGCTGGGTGATACCCTGACTTAGAATGGCTCTTTGCATTTGTGAGCTTACTGGATCCACCTGAAGCTTGCTGAAATCTTTAGGATGAACTTGGAAATGATTGATCAGGTATCCCTCCTGTGGATGTGTTGGGTACTTTTCCAAAGCAACCACAAACTCTAAGCCAGGCATGCCAAAACTTAGCAATATACTTGCTATAAACAACAATGGAAATGCTTTCTAGACCCACAAACATTAAGGGAAAAAAAATTATCGAAATATGTGTGTCTGGGCGTGTAACTAGGATAAACCATTATAATGACTAATTTATATATTTAAAGTAAATACAATTTTCAAATACAGAAAAAAAATGGGGAATTATCTTGAGTTTTTACCACTGTTTACTTCTCTTGGATTTGTGGTCTCAGAACTTGAAGTATGACGAATGTCTGTTTTAGGACATTTAGGAAGGAGTTTCAGACAAAAATTTCAAATGATGAAAGGTAAAAACAAGAGAGAAAAATAAGTTTCAAAAACCAAAAGCTCTTATAAAGTCCAAGTGTTGCAGTGAAGGGAACAAATAATGTAACTCTAAGGAAGGAGTCCAAACTTCATCCTTTTTAGATACTACTTGGCTCTAACATGTCTAGGATTCAGTTATATTCCAATTTAAGTTGACGTGGAAAGATTTGTTTCCTCCCTAAACTAAGACTCCTAAAATAAATGGAAAAGGAAATTGTAGAGTTACCTCTACTTCAAGGCTGGACCAACCCTGTCTAGGTTAAAATGCATTTTATCTAGGGCGCCTGGGTGGCTCAGTTGGTTAGGCGACTGCCTTCGGCTCAGGTCATGATCCCGGAGTCCCTGGATCGAGTCCCGCATCGGGCTCCCTGCTCGGCAGGGAGTCTGCTTCTCCCTCTGACCCTCCCCCCTCTCATGTGCTCTCTCTCTCTCATTCTCTCTATCTCAAATAAATAAATAAAATCTTTAAAAAAAAAAAAAGCATTTTATCTAATTAAACGTCCCGGGGCTGTGTGGGAGTATAGAAAAAGAATGGTCTCTGCTCACACCTAGCAGCTTCATGAACTTAGATGGCTCAACCAGATACAACTTAAATCTTCTTGTTTCTATTGATCTTAGGCATTTTTAGAATTTCCTATTCATTTTGTGCACCCTCATGTGAGCATGTGTGATTTGTAAACACTGATATTTGATGCCATCATCTACTTTATTCAGTGGTTTCCTCATCTATAAAAATAGGGACAGAAATTCCTCCTCAAAAGTTCTGTGGTTTCGGGGTGCCTGGGTGGCTCAGTTGGTTAAGCGACTGCCTTCGGCTCAGGTCATGATCCTGGAGTCCCGGGATCGAGTCCCGCATCGGGCTCCCTGCTCGGCAGGGAGTCTGCTTCTCCCTCTGACCCTCCTCCCTCTCATGCTCTCTGTCTCTCATTCTCTCTCTCTCAAATAAATAAATAAAATCTTTAAAAAAAAAATAAAAAAGTTCTGTGGTTTGATGAATTTACAACATAAAATTCATCTCAAACTATCTTAAGTACTCTAGTTTGCTACATTATTCACAGAGGTTTTCCAGTTTGGAATATATCTGGACATCTACATAACCAAACATCTGGGGTCTAGTGTCAGGCCATCAATTAAACCAGATGGAAGCCCTACAGGCAAACGTCTTTGTTCTGTCATGATATAGATCAGTAGGACTCAAACCTGCTTGAGATTCAGTATTGTCAGGAAGATTTATCTGAAGTATGCATTATTGTGCTCCACCCAAAGGAATTGTGATCCAGTGGTTTACAGTGGGGTCCTGGCTACATATTCTTGTAAGACTCTCCTGAAAGCCTTCCTCATATACAGATGGATTTAGTAGTCTACACCATCTAGGGTAGCAAATGGCTAATGGTATTTCCAAGATGTCAGTACTTTAAGTGTTGTCGAGTTCTTTAGACATATTAAAAATAAGGTGAAAGTAAAACAATATCAGGGTCCAATATCCAAACATTATGGAAGTTTCAGGGGAGGAGAATAGCGTATGTCTTATCAGGCTGTCAGATTCAGTTTCCTATTTTGTGAACGTAGAATAGCCTTGGTCATATTTAGAAACATCACATTTAATAACAAGATATTAATAAACTTGTCCTGCAACTAAGACACTAGTAAATGCTTAACTGTTAAAAATGTTTGAGCTGTGCGGTGCCTGGGTGAGTCATTTGGTTAAGTGTCAGACCCTTGATTTTGGCTCAGGTCATGATCTCAGGGTCATGAGATTGAGCCAAATGTTTGAGCTGGTAAAAATTCTTAGTTTGCTTAGTTAGCAAAGAGCTTTTAGTTCCTTTATGTATTCTTCATGCTGACTGTAAGCTATAACTGCTCTGATCAAAATATTTCCCTGAATGTTACTGTCAGGTGGTTGGGGGTCTAGAGAAAGGGAAGAGCTAACCATACTCTGGAGAAAATTTTTGATAATTTTAAATGTTCATAATGATGTGATTTTAATTTTTTTTATGATGTATTCTTGGATGGAGAGAAAAAAACCTTTGTATCAGGTTATGGCTACTAATTTTTTTAAAAAATTTTAATACACCTTAAGTCAAAAATTAATACACCTTGAGCAAATATTATATCTAGTAATAAGCAATTCTGAGATGTCCCATCTGATTGGGGAATGAGTCATGTATTTTAAACAGTTTTTCCTCACTTTTTTTGGTCTTTACTAGCTTTTTCCTTTCCTTCTTTAACTGCTGAATATTTGTGAAATTATTTTATTGTGTAATTTGTTGGGTTTGAGAATATATGGCATGGGAGTATGTTCTGAGAGTTCAAATTCCCTTCAGTCAAGGACCCCATGTCACTGCTACCAAAGCCAGCGTCATTTGAAGCATTGATGTCCTCTAATTGGAAGGCAGGAATTTGACTCTAATTTGAAGAAAATATGTACATATATAAGAAGACAAAAAGAAATGAAAATGGATTAAATTCAAGAATTAATTTAATGGAAGGCGTAGGTGGAGGTGAAGAGAGGTGTTTTTCATTAACATATATTGATGATGAAATTTGTAAGGTTAGGGCCTCAGTGATTGCTCCTCCTGATCCCATTATCCAGTGGCATGTGGTTGTTAGAATGAAATAAGAAGGAGGAAGAGGGAGGAAAGGGAGGATGGGGATAATGTTGATTTTTGCTTCAGGCTCAATCCCAAGGCTGTAATTTTCATTCCAAAGCACAGGGGAGGCAAATGGAGTGACCATTTAGGTTGGTAACGCCCTTGAATTTCTGCCATACTTGGAGGGGGGGGGGGTTCCTCTTGGTTTGCACCATGGGCCATAGGCCCAAATAAAGGATCAGGTCCGTTTTCTTTTCAGTTCTGACTCCTTCAGCAGTAGAGACATGTAAGTGAACGAGTTTTACCCAGTAACAAGAGTCAGTAAGATAATAAGATAGCGTATGTAACATATTTTTCTGGAAAAGAATTTATGTGCACAATGCTTCTTTGTTTATTAATCCTTAAACTCTAAGCCTAAAGTACACAGTTTTTATCGGCATAAATTCTTCTGACCTACTTTCCCAAACAGGATTCTGTGTCCTTTGCCAGTCTCTTGTGGGGGTGTCACCGTTGCTTTGAATGCTGTGCCGCAGGGCAGTGCCAACCTCTCCCTGCTTTTGCTAATCCTTGTTCCTTCCAGGTTATCATAATGTTAGCTCACCATGAATTCATGTTCATGGGTATTTTTTGTGTTTGAGTGTTGATGTTTTACTGTGCATCACAAGCAGACACACTTGGTCCGTTCCACATAGGAGACAACACAGAAGAGCTTAATGTGCAGTCTCAAGGGGTCACTTTTGAAATTCAGATTATCTATCAAATCCATTGTTATCTGGCTCCTTTATGAAATTGGAAGAACAGTGAATTTTTACCTTATATTCATAGAGAGCCCTTCAAGAAATAATAACAGTTTTAAAACTTTAAAAAAATTGGTAACAGGATTAAAATGGAACATTTTGGGTGTCATTAAAAAAAAATTGGTAACAGTAATTAAGAATTCTTTTATTAATTTATGAAAAACTATTTAAACCATATTATCTGAATATATTTAATCCAGATATCTGCTCACACACAACCTCTTTTTAAGAAGCAAGTAATAAATTCATACACACTTATGTTTTATATAAACACATGATGATGGGATTGCTTAAATACATGCCAAGTCTAGCTAAAACAACCTGAGTGAGGGAAGTTTATTTTTTTAAAGAACTTCATGGTGAATTGAAATCTAAACACCAGCAAAACAAGTAATCTCCCCAGCTCAAACTGGTGTTAACAACCGAATATCAATGAAGGTAAAATGTTAACAGGATAATCTCCTTTTATTGCCCTTAGTTACCTTGAGTTTACGTCTGTGGATTCTAGTGCAGTTGTCCAGGCTTGTGACTAAGGTCAAGGACTCTGTGAGACTGCTCAGGGGGTCAGTCCTGATTCTGTCACTTCATAGATGCTGTGAATGTGGGCACGTGTTTTTGTTGTTGTTGTTTTTGGATTTTTTTAAAAGATTATTTATTTGAGAGAGTGAGCAGGAACAGGAGGGGCAGAGGGGAAGGGAGAGAGAATTGCAAGCAGACTCCTCACTGAGCATGGAGCCCAATGCAGGGTTTAATCTCACCACCCCAAGATCATGACCTGAGCCAAAACCAAGAGTTGATCACCTAACCAACTGAGCCACCCAGGTGTACCGTGGGCATGTGTTTGAAACATCTGTACCACAGGTTCCTCACCCGTATAAGGATAAAGATAGTTCTCATACCTAGGGTAGCCATCCCTCTTAGTTTGCCAAGGACAGCCCCCATTTATACCGGTTGTCCTGAAGTAATTATTACTAGTTTCCCCTTTCACATTCAAAAAACATTCCATTTTAGGGTCTCCAGGTCATGATTCCGGGGTCCAGAGATCCAGCCCCATGTCAGGCTCCGTGTTCAGTGGGGAGCTTGTTTCTCCCTCTCCCTCCATCCCTCCCCACCCCCGCTGGTGCTGTCTCTCTCCCTTTCTCTCTCTCTTTCTCTCTCAAATAAGTAAGTAAAATCTTTAAAAAAAGTTCCATTTTAAATGATAAATTGTAGAGTGTCTTTTCTTATACAGCTACTGTGAAGATTAAATGAGCTGATCCAGAATTATGTGAAGCACTTAGAGAAATGTTTCTTATTAATACAAGCTTATTATATTTCTTATCAATTTTAATCCCAATATAAAGAAACAGAATTGACAGGGGAAATCCAAAAGAGCTGCACATGCCCTTATATAGTAACAGAAGAGAAAATGGAGGAACATGGCACCCTCAACACTCTGAAAATACCTATTTTCAAAAGATCTGGTTGTGTCTTTTCTTGACCTAAATATCAAAACAATTTGTTCTATCAGTGGGTTCACATTTTAATAATTTTAAATCACTAGAATAATGAAATACAAAATCAGGAAATAATGTTATTGGTAGAAAACATATATGGAAGTTAGTCTCCGTCTTTCAAGCAGCTATTATTTCAGGCAAATAGTAGGTTATATATTAGCCATAATGTAACTGGATTTAATTGTTGGGTAAATATCCTCTCCATAAAGGTGTAAAAGAGTACAAATGGCCACCCATGAATACAATGGATGCAGACCTGATATTCAGCTGATAAGTATCAATATGCCTGTACTGCTATTAAAATATTGAAAAACCCCAGGTGACTCTTTTCTACCTTGGTCACCTCAGCCCTACCCCAAATCTTGGTCTCACCCAGGATCCAACAACTAAGAGGTTCCTTTCTGGCCCAGCAGTGGGTCCAGCTCTAGGCTGTGATCTTTCTAGTGGGAGATACCTGTGGTGATCCCTTAAAACTCTCCAAGTGGATGGCAGGGAATATTGTTCCAAAGCATGATCAAGTAGAGTACATCTCCTCTCTCCATGTAGACTCATTAGCTGCCTTCTTGTGCAAGTTCACGTGGAGTCTGCTCTAAAGTTCACTTCAAACAAAGAAAAAAGATGGGAATCCTTGGAAAGGCTTTCTGTCATCTTCTTTGACAGCATTTTTTGGTGGAACAGATGATTTTCCAAAATTATAAGAATAACCTCAGTAACCTCACTTAAAACACATAATCTTCTTTTCTGGATCATCTTGATACCTAATTTGTAATCGTACTCTATCAGTTAGAGAAAAACCATTTTTGAAAATCACATAATAACCTGAGTTTTCATTGTGGAGAGTGAGACAGTGAAATTATTTCCCTTTGAAAGTGATGACAGAAAAGAATATCTTTTTCTTTTGAAGAGCTTCGTGACTAACAAGTGACACCAGCTACTGTTCCAAGGGGATACACATGCATTTCAAACCAGTGACATTGAGAAGATCAGGGATTAGGCTGCACGTGGAACAATACTACAACAATGATGCAGGAGTACACATAGGATTGTTTCTGGACTCTCCACAGGATTGCTCTCAGGGGCCTGACTAGGGAATGGAATGAACCGGTTCTTCTGCTTCCAAGAAACTGTGCCTGAGTCTTGGTGTAGTGCCAGAGTGATGGCGAAACGCTTGGCCCCCAGCAGCATGCTGTCAGTGTGTTTGCGTCAGCAGCCTGAGTAACTGCAGAAGAGGAATAAGCACAGGCATTTAGAGATGGCAGAGGGTTGCTAAAGTGTGGGGGGAAAAAAACCCCAACGAACAAAAGTCGCTTGTGATTTTCGCCTTTCAATCATGTTTTTATCATGCTGAAATGAAGATTGTCACTGTGCGATTTTTGATGTGTAAGGACAGCTAAAATTGATAATTCTCTTGCATAATAATGTACCCCATTTTAGGCACATTTTTATTTGTTTTTACTCGTACTGGGTTATATTCGATATTTTTTTTCTTTATTGGCATCCTCTGTGGCCATTTTGGGCTGTGACTCCCTGTTCTTTACATGTTTTGGTACCATTATCCATAAACATGCAGTTCTCCCTCCCTGCTAGCTTCGTGAGTACTATCAATGACATTACGTATGATAGGCAGATAGTGGCTCCATGAAAGACAGCCACATCCTAATCCCCGGAACCTGTGAATGTTACTTAATATGGCTAAATCGACTTCACTGGTATGGATCAATTTAAACTCTTAAGATCTGGAGATTATCCTGGATTTTCCAGGTGTGCTTTAAGTTCAACCACAAATTTGCATATAAGACAGTGACAGAGAAATTTGAAACAGAAGAGGAAGAGAAGGCAATGTGATCACAGAGGGAGAGACTGAAGGGAGGAGGTTTCAAAGCCAAGGAATGTCAGTAGCCCCAGAACCTGAAAGAGACAAAGAACAATTCTCTTCCAGAGCATCCAGAGGGAGTGTGTCCTGCCAACAGCTCCCTGTCAGCCTGGTGATACTGATGGTGGATTTCTGGCCTCCAGAACTGAGAGGATACAGTTCTGTTGTCCTAAACCATAAAGCCCATAGTAATTTGCTATAGCGACTCAAAAACTAACACAGCCTGATTCAGAAACTATGCATGCATAGATTTAAATGCGTCTTCTTTTTTACAATGCAATTTTCCACAAATCAAACATAAGTACCGAAAAAGTGCAAAAATCTTCTGTATAAATGAGTTATCATATGAGTTAGCACCAAGCAACCATACTTCACTGAGATTGAAAAATCTCTGTGTCCTCTTTTGTGCCTCTCCATTCTCCCCAAATGTGACCACTGTCCCAACTGCTAACACCATAGCGCCATTTTGCCTGATTAATTTAAACTTTTTATAAATGGGATTGTGTATTTTATTTTTGTCTAACGTGTTTTGCTTAATATTTTGTTTGAGAGATTCATTGACACTGTTATGAGTATAAGTAGTTAGGTTTTTTTATTGCTGAGTACTACCCCTTTTGGGAAAATAGAGTGTTTATGCATTTTCCTGTTCGTAGACAATTATGTCTTTTCCAGTTTGGGGCTATCTTGAATAAAGCTGCTGTGAACATTCGTATACGTACATGTCTTTTGGCACATACCTAAGAATTGAATTGCTGGGTCATATAGTATGCATATGTTCAGATGGAGCAGATAGAGCCAAATTATTTTCCAAAGTAGTTATTACGAAGTTACATTCCTTTCAGAAGTAGATGGAAATTCCATTTGTTCTATATCCTTGCCAAATCTTGGAAATTACTGTCTTTAAAACTTTTTTTTTATTAAAACAAAAGATTTAGCTAATGACAAACAGTGGTATGTCATTATATTTTATAGAATTTCTATTCTCTGCATGACTAATGATTTTGGATACTTTTTCAAATGTTTGTTATTCACTTGGATATCTTCTAGGGCAATTATTTCAAGACATTGCGCATTTTGTTTTAGGTTATATTTTTCTTACTGATTTTCAGGAGTTCTTTATATAGTCCAGATATCAGCCTTATATAGGTTATAAGAGTTTACAAATATTCTTCCATAGCAGACTTGTTGTTGCATAAATGGAGATTCCAACTTTAATGTATTCCAATTCATTATTCTTTTCTTTTGGTTTATACTTGTTTGCCCTATTTAACAAATCTACCTATTCCAAGGCCATAAAGATAGTCTCTCATATTATCCTGTAAGGGAATTGTTGTCTAACTTTTCAATCTATAATTGACCAGCCTTTCAGAAACAGTATACAAATTTATATTTGTACCAATTGAAGTTGAGAGTATCTATTACTCTGTACCCTCATCTATAGGGTTTATTTTCTTTCTCTTTGCAAAACTATTATGAAAAGGCACATTATTATCCACTATATTCTGAAAATACATTTAAGAAAATGTATTTTCATGCGTATAATTTTTTATTATACATGGGAGTAGAGACCTTGATAAAAGTAACATATAGTCTATAAATTTAAAAAATATATTAAGGCTTTAAAATCAGAGAAAAGCATTTTTTCAACAATAGTAATTTTTCTTTGTATGTGTCTATTCAGCAAAAGCATCAGAAGTTCTTTAATTGCCACCTTTAGTAAAACTTAGGCTTGCTATTTCTCTGGTGTGAAATTTTAGGTGGAAAAGCTGTTTATAAATGATATAAAATAAAGGCTAAATCAACATTCTTGTATTATTTTTCATGGAGAATAGTAACTATAGGAGATTAAGCAATTATCTCCTCATGGTGGAATTAGATGGACATTCTTAAGGCTAAATTTGGAAACTTATCTGCAAGATGATGTTTTGGATAACATTCAAGTGCTGGGTTAAAGAGGCAGTAAAACTTTTTAGATTAAGAAACGTGTGTTGCTATAAAACATAGTAAGTGTAGGGTGCTGAAGTGGGCTTATGAGTGATCTTATCATCTCTTCTGCAAGAGATTGTCTTCAGTTTCAAGAGGGATTCCAGAGTCAGAAAAAGAATTCCTTGATCTAGATTCTACAACAAAATCATCATGAATAGATCCATCATAGATTAAAAAATAAAAGGAAAACATGCGATGAAAATGACTGCATTCTACAAACTACATAGGCTGCAGAAATGATATGTAAGAAAGAAATGATAAATTAAAATAAGATAAAGAAAAGATTGATAAGAAAGAAGCTTGATTTGAAAAAAAAATTGGGGATTTGGAGTATTTTGCCTGTTTTCTAAATATACTTACCAGAGGAATAGAGAGAGTAGAAATCCTTTGATGAATGAAACATCAAAAACTAAAAAGGTTGGGACTAAGAAGTTGTTTTGGACTTATCTAATGGAGGCTATCTTTTTTTTTTTTTTTTAATAAGAGAAGAAACATTTGACAGTGACCCATGACCTGACCTTGAATGCTAGTCTATGTCCAGGCTATGGAGACATGAAGGTAGTAAAGTTATCACGTAATATATAATAATTTTTAAATTGCTTGACTTTATGCACAAGTGTGTACTAGACAGGGAAAGGGATCTCTTTATAGATGGAGGATTTTAATCAAGAGAATGTATAACTTCCTAAAAAAAAAAGAGAGAGAGAAAATATGACTTCCTAAGGGCAAGAATTAGAGCTTCAAGTTAAGTTATGAGACTAAACAGGGGGTATAGTTCTAGTCAAAATCCAAAATATTACTTGAAATGGTTTTTTGGGATGCCTGGGTGGCTTAGCCAGCTAAGCGTCTGCCTTCAGCTCAGGTCATGATCCCTGGGTTCTGGGATTGAGCCCCTCCAGGGAGTCTGCTTCTCCCTCTGCCCACTGCTCCCTCTGCTTGTGTTCCCTCTCTCTCTTACTCTCTCTCTCATTAAAAAAAAAAAAAAAAAAGGAAGAAATGTTTTTTTATTTTCCCAAAATTTAGTTATGTTTTTATTCTCATTATTAAATCCGAGGAAACTAGAAATATACAAATTGAAATTTAGTTAAGTGCACATGTTGGAGCAGTGTTCAGAAATTTTGTAACTGCTTCTTAGACACTGGGATTAGTTGCATGTGTAGTGGTGGAAATAATAGCGGGAAAGAAGAAAAAGCATATTATAGATAAAATTAGAAAGAACTCAGTTTATGTTGGGGTAGAGGTTAAGGGTAGTTTTAGAAAGTCTAAAAGTTGGAAAAGACCAATGCTAGAAAGGACCTTATTATTTGGTTCAACTCTTCTATGCAAAACTGAGGCTGAGTTAGATGGTATGCGTAAGAGTAAAAAGCTGGTTATAAGAACATGATGATGGTTTGTCTGCTACTGATTCTCATTCTAGTAGCAGCCTTCCACAATGCCACTTGGCTGTTAGTAGCAAGAGTAGGTCTGAGGCCTGCTGCCTCAGTGAGCCCTGTGTATATTGCTCAGTACTGGGAGCCATGTTGATGAATTGCATTGACTCATTCATTGTTTGTCCTAATTGTTGGACAGGCAAAATGAGAATGCCAAGTGAATTTGCTCTTACTACTTTTAGAAAAGGAAAAGACAAAACAAAACAAACTTGTTCGTACCAGCGCTATTCAAGTGTGGTCCTCCATAACTGGCAGAGAATGCCAGCAGTTGTTACCAGGCCAGACCGTGGTAAATACAGGAAATCATAGTACAGCCATTTGACAGAATAATGTCTACTGGATCTAATGTGAAGACATCTGGGCTTTTATTTTGTATGGCAGAGTTGTTGTTAATTTTCATTTGCCTAGAAATTCACTTTTATTACATATTAAAGAAATTTTTTTTAAAGAAACAAACAAAAACACTTGTCCTCATTTGAAAAGGATTAGTCTAAAGCACTTTCTCCTCAAATTCCCTCACTGGTAAATGACAAATACTAATTTAAGTCGGGCAACACCACCTGCTGGGACAAATAATCCTTTCTCTTCTCTTCTCCCTCCCCTCTCCCAAATTGGGTTGAGAATTTAAGGACTTTTACAGATCATTTCAAAGAATTTTCATTGAATTGGTACAGTTTTCCCACCTCTTTAAGGCATTCTGGAAGTTTCTAAAAGAAATAATAAAAATTTTAAAGAATGCCTAGATTTGTGGGACAAATGAGTCTGGTTAGGTCTAATATGTGTAAGAATGGATGTGTACTCAAAGTGTTACAATGGGAAGAACTTCAGAGTCAAGCTTCCCTGGATTCTGGATTCCAGTCCTGACTCTACCACTCCATAGCTACAGTGGATCAGCCCATATTTAACTCCTCTAACAGTAGTTTCTTTATAAGGCATGGAGTACAATATATAAATCTCATGGTGCAGGGATTAAATATAGGTAATTAAAACACATCTCAGTGCCAGTAAAATCATATGTTACCAATAAAGGTAAGTCATTATTCTCATTTCTCACAGGAGAAAGTGAGAATTGGGAAAGACTTTATAGAAATTATATGATTAGTTAAGCCTTAAAAACATGGAAAAGTTAGCCAGGCAGATAAGACAAAGAAGACTAATATGAACATAGCTGAGAAGCATGAGGTAGTAAAATGTTTTTGTCAGACATTACAGGTAGCTCAACTGCAGAAACAAAAAGATCAAGGAGGAAATACCAGGTGTTAGAGCTGAGGAAGTAAGAAAGGTTAAATCATGAGAAGCCTTGCTCAGCAAACTTGTAGACATGGAATTTTCCCTTTTTATGGGACATTTATAGCCTGGGTGCATGGACCCTCCTCACTGAAAATGGAGGGATATTTGAATGAATTCCAAGGTATCAATGACATCCTGAAGTTGTGTGCAACATTTTATGACTATAATCACATATGAAATTTTTGAGAAAAAGAAAGGCCCTAAGATTTGCTAGATTCTTAAAGTGCCCCACAGCTTCTAACAAGCTCAGAACAATCAGATTAGGAAATAGGAAGTCTCTGAATAGACTTAAAGTGGGACAGAAGTGCTGTGTGTGTAAAAGACGTGGTCACATTTAGCTTTTGGATGATAGTTAACTCAGGTAGAAACATGAAGCTGATGTGAGAATTCCACTTGATTTGTAGGTTAGGGTCACAGTCTTTGTATCCCTAGCACCCAGAACACAGAATCCCTCATAGTGCCCGTGTTTTCCCAATGTTAAGTAAATATTTGAACAAAGGATAAGACTAACGACAGGAGGAGAAATTATCTATTTCATGCAATTATCCAGTCAGAGATGACATGACAAGTGTATAGAATTAAAGAGTGATAATTGGGATGGAAAAGAAAGGACAGATTCGAGACATTTTAGAGATAAATCAGCAACACTCGGCAACTGATTGATTGGCTGTGAGGGAGAAATGGAGAATGATATCCTGGTTTATAGGTTGGATGATAGATTCCTGTGTCATTCTGTGCCTGTCTTTAAAAACAGTTATTTTCTACTGCCTTGTATTATATTACTATGAACATACTGTATCTCCTCTTGAAGACTGTAAGTTAGTAGGAGACATGATTTATTTTTTAATTTTTATGCTATTTGCAACAGCAGTTGGTTTAGTGATGTCCAACTAAGACGACTCAGGAAGCATATGTTTAAAAAAGTTAAAGATGCTGTAAAGGATGGTGTCCAATATTTAGAACCTACAGGGATGATTACTTTTTGTTTCCCATTTTTAAACTTCCTGACAGTTTTTGCCTTACAGTAGTTTTCAGTTTATGTGAGGGAACAGTTGCGATGCAGAAACCTCTTGTGGACTGGGAGTAAAAAGTTGAGTAGTACATCTGTGCTTTGTAAACAGTGAAGTGGGAGAGGTTGGACAGGCAGGGTTCAGGAGCTCCTACTCAAGACTCAACAAGAACAATTTCTCGCTGATCTGTCGTTGAATTTCTGATTTCATTTGGTGAGTTCTGCTCCTTAAGCATGTACGGAATGAGATTCTTTGACAAAGAGAAAGATGTTTTTACAAAACAAATACAGAGATTTAGAGTGGTATTTTCATGATGGCTATATTATATATATTATATATCTTGAAAATTATTGCAGTGATGTGCTCAATTAGCACTTTGCATGCATTTCCTTAAAAAGACCTGGTCCATTGGGGGTCAGGTAGAGTTCAAAGGGTGGTGCCCTGACACTGTAGAAAGATGGTATGGTGAGTTGGAAAGGACAGTGGCTCTAGGGACAGAAAGACCTAGTTTCAGATTTCTCCCATTGGTCATTTTTCATTGTGTCACCTGGAGAAAGAAAGATGTCTGACTTTCCTGGAGGATATTGCTATTCCCTGAAAATAAGAAAATGATAGCAGCTACTATATTATGAGCAATATAATGTGCCTGTAACTGTTCTAACTACTTTAATATATTAATTTATCCTAACAAACCCATTAGATATATGATTTCATCATCCCCAATTTACAGATAAGTAAACTTAGGCTCCAAAGAATTAAGTAATTTTGCTAGATGACACACGATGTGGCAAGGAAGGTATTTAACCTGACACCCTGACCACACACCGGATCACTACACACCTTTTAGGACTGTAATGAAGATAAATGATCATTTATGTAAAATCTTAGAAAATAATATTGACATATATTTGCTTCGATATCATTATTAGTAATATTAACATGATAATTAGATAGGCTTTTTTGCAAGGGAGAACTGTGGACTTCAGTCCCACTTATAACAATGGTTTTTTTTATCTTCATATTTTTTATTGAAGTATAGTTGATACACAATGATTTACAATGTTAGTTTCAGATGTACAACATAGTGACTTGACAACCTATATGTTATGCTATGCTCACCACAAATGTAGCTATTAAAGGAAAAATTAGTTTTGAATCTCAAATAATTAGCTTGCTCATGAATTTTTGGATCTTATTTATATATCAGTTAGAGATATTCTGTACCAAAAACTGGGGAGAAAGCTTTTCTGCACAGATGTTTCCATGTCATGCATTTTTGAGACTCTCCAAATTCTTTGTGGAAAGAGGAAAATTGGGCCAAAGTATAAATTATCTCTAATCTTCACACAAATCTTTGTGAAAAAAACAATTTCATCTTTTGGAAGATCTTGAGTTCTTTGTGAGATGATATTTTAAAAAGTCGTTGTCAAAAATTCACATGTAATGCATAGACTCTAATATTGATATTAATTCTATCCCAAACAGCATAATATTTAAAATAAATCTGAGACTTAAGGCCAGAAAAAATTTTAAGCACTTGAAGATAATAGAATAGGGCTACAATAGAATAGAACTACAACATAGAGAATAATATGGAGGGACATTCTTTTTTTTTTTAAGATTTATTTATTTATTTATTTGAGAAAGAGAGAGAGGGAGAGAGAGAGAGAGCAGGGGAAGGTGCAGAGGGAGAGGCAGACTCTCCACTAAGTGGGGAACCCACTGTGGGGCTCAATCCCAGGACCCTGAGACCATGACCTGAGCCAAAATCAGACACTTAACCAACTGAGCCACCCAGGCGCCCCTGGGAGGGCATTCTTTAGGTAAAGCGAGCACAGATATCCCTTGGACTAGGGGCCAGTTAAAATCTGAATTGTAAGAAGGAGGCAACCTTGGGAAGATCTTGATTAATCTCCTTGGCAGTCACCCTGGTACTACCACAAATTCCATGTGTTCAACAGAGAGATCTGAGAAGACTCTCTGAATAAGTATTTCTGGAAGGAACTATTTTTATTCCTATGGATTTTTATTTTTAATAAGCAATTTACACATCTCTTCTTTGTATATTAAAAGATACATACCCAGAGAAAAATGAAGGAGACCAAGTCCTCCAGCTGAGTGTGTTCTCATCTTCCATGAAGGGCTAGGGACCATGGACTGTGGGTCACACAGACTTGTATCCAAAACTAGGGAAAGTTACCCAAGATTCATCCACAATTTTTTCATATATTAATGCAGAAAACAGTAGGACCTAGTTAGTAGGATAGCTGTGAAGATTAAATAAGATAGTGTAAACTTTTTTAGTAAATTGATAGGTGCTTCATATATTCTCAATAGGTGGAAGGTAGCATGAGTGGTAACTTAAGAGAGGCAAACTGAAAAAAGATGAAGAAAAGTTGTATTTTTAAAAAATCATTTGCTTTTGTGATGGAATTTGAGAATTATTTTTGCTAGAACTTGGAAACATCCTAACTTTTTAATTGGTACACAAATTATACTTCAGTATAAATTAGACATTAATTCACAGACTTTATTTAGCAGGATTAATTCAGAAAACCAATTGCAGACTAACGGCCTAAAGCTAAGACAGTGTACAAATATCCTGTTTAAAACTGAAACTTTCATCTTGGCATGGGGACCATAGTGAGAGCTACTATGCTTGAGGTGCTTCACACATTTTCTCTTTCTATTAGCATAATTGTCCCATGAGATAGGTATTCCTTCCATCATTCAGGTGGGAGTACTTAGGTACCAGTAATTTAAATAACTTGCCCAAAGCCCCATAGCTAGTCAGATGCAGTGCCAAGATTTGAGCATAGATCTCTCTGTCTTTAAACATCAGACTTTATTCCAGGAAATGAATTAGGTTAAAAAAAAACCCCAAAAAACAGAAAAACAAAACGAAAAAAAGAGTTTCATTTTAATTATCTCTGTGTGTTAGGTTAATATGATTTTGGACTTGAATTGTACTAACTTGAAGTAATTTTCCACTTGGATGTTAAAAGGCAGTCTTGGTTATTCTTACATTCATTATTTATGAGTAATAAAACTTGCAAAGCTTTAAAATTATAGATATACAACCTGTACATCTCTTTGATGAAGAAAAACCCAAGGCAAATGCCTAACTAGAAACCTACATATCCACTCTTCTGGTTTTAGGGCATAAAGTGGCTTGTTTGACTTACTCTTGCTAAGTCACTTGAACTGTGTAATGTGAAATCCCTCAAATAACACCATCCCAACTATCTGCACCTGTCGTTTTGTCTAGTAAAATATGTTTTACTTTTTGAAAAAAACTGGCCATAAATCAGTGGAATGAAACTTCCCTCCACGTTAAAAAGATGACCGTGAGCTGTTAATACTCAGGTCAAACTTTTGGTTTCCCATAAGCTTGTCAGTTCCTCTTTTAAGTGTGCCTTATTTCCACAAAAAGATTTTACTTGTACCCTGAAAATTAAAGAGACAGTCTTGGCTAATGCTTACCTCGTGGAGGCAATAGCATTTTGTAAAGTACATACACTCTGAGTCCATATTCTGCTATTCTCCTTGAAGTGCCTCCAGGAATGATAAATATCTTGTTTCCAGAGCAAAAACAGAAAAGCGCAACAGTGATCTTCTCTTTTGAAAGATTGAATGATGCCGCACCCACTCCATCTCAAATACCATCATGTGAAATTTGGAAGCAAATGGTTTCCAGGTCTAGGACGAAGAAAAAAGAAATGTGTTGCTTATTCATTGTATATGCAAGCCATTGTATACATGATGAGTCTTAGGCTTTTCAAAACTGCAGGAAGTGCGGTGTGATCCTTTGTGTTTCTCTTGAAAAGAATCAAAGGGGAGCTCTATTACTATGTAGGGGCACACTCCCAAGAACTCCCTTTAAATCTCTCCTCTCCAAAAGCTGAGCACTGAGAGTCACTGACCTTGTATTTTAGACAATGTCAGGGGAGAGAGATACAAGAAGAAAGGAGAAAAGGAGGCTTCTGCACTGAATGACTGACGAATGTGTTTAAAGTGAAATGAACATGTCTCTACTGTCCTCTACATTTCTCCAACTTGTTTCTTTGTTTGGAAGCCAAATGCAGTAACTTGGCTAAACAATGAGTCACACTGAATTAAATAATGTTTAGATAAAATAGCTGTCTCTTTAGGAAAACATCTCTGTATTACTTTGTTCATGAAGCCCGGTTCTTTGGATGTGAGAGTTGATTGTATACAATTTTATGATATTTTTCTGTGTGCAAATGAAAATGGGTTTAAGAATGTGTCAAGTGAAAACAGAGTTCAAGAATTTTGGTTGGTGGGGGTGCTGGGTTATTAAAATCCAAATTGTCTGTCTGTGTCTGTCTTACTAAAAGTTGTGGGTGGTCCATGCTGAAAGAATCTAGAGATCAAAAAATTTTGGCAATATACAGCAGTTTTCCAGTTACTGATAACTGGTATTTCT